CGGGCCGCAGAAGCCCCAGGCGCCCGAGCCCCCACTGCCGCCGAGCTTGGAAGCCGGAGCGGGTGCCGGGCCCCTGGAGGTGCCGGCGCTGGCGGAGCCCGACCGCGGCGGCCCCAGGGAGGAAGACGAGCCCACGCTGGCGCTCGGCCCGCAGGTAGGAGCAAGCGAAGCGATTCCGGCTACTAGGGGCGCTTTCGCATCCCCGGAGTGGGGTTGGGGCCAGGGCGGGGTTGCGAATGGACCATCCTTCCCGGGCTGGGGCTGGAGCCTACCCCCAGGTCCGAGGCGGAGGCTTTCTTCTCCAAGGCGTGAGTGGAGGCTGGACCCCACTTCAAAGCCAAGGCACAGCCCATACTTCCGAGACCAGACTGAAGCTGCCACCCTCTCGCCTTGCCGCCTCCGGGTTGGAGCAGAGGCTAAACGTTCTGGTCATACACCCACACTGGGGATGGCTCTGATCCTGGGGCCACGACTCAGCTCTCTGCCCTTCACCTCCCTCTGGGCCCACCTGCTCCCCCACCGACAGGCCTTGGGAGGGGCATTTCTGGGCGATGGGCCCTGGAAGGCTGACTGCAGCCTCTTCTCCCTCCTTGGGAGCGGCTCCACCCGTTCTCCTGCACTGCCTGCAGCCACTGCCCCCTCAGCAGCTGTGCCCCCAGCATGTCTCCTGGGGCCTCCCTCCTCTCCCTGCCCAGCCGAGCAGCTGGAGCAGACAGACAGCCTGACTATCCAGAAGCCTATTTGGTGGGGCTCCCGCACTGAGTTGAAACCTAGCAAAACCTTTGTTTTCTCCCTTCCATTACCCTCGCCCACCCTGACTCTCAGGTCCCTGGGCTTGGTGAATCCTTGAGCAGTAGGAGTATTCCCCAAAGCTTCCAGCTTGTCACCTGGAAGAAGGTCACTTTTTCTTTTGAGCAAAGGAGATAATGGGAGGCACCCTGCCAGTGTTCACCGAGACGCGGGGGAGGCATGGGCCACAGTTGCTCTGGGAGGGTTGTGACGCCCCGGGATGGGTGGCTTGCCCTAAGCTTGCTCTGACAAAAGAGTTTTGAGTTGGTCTTTTGGCTGAGCCTGCCAAGAAAGGCAGGCTCCTGCAGGAGACTTGGAGGGTCGGATACAGCGCCGGATGAGGATGAGGCGTGGCAGAAGATGCGTTTGGCTCTGCAGACACTGCATCGGGCAGCAGGGGACTCTGGGAGGCTGGTGCAGCCAGAAGGCATGGCTCTTGACAGCTTTCTATTAGAATCTCTGGAATTGTGCATGTGAGTGGGGATGTCTTTTGGGGTACCATTCCTAGAAAGCCTTCCCTGACCTCCCCAGTTGCGTCAGGTGCCCCCCTCCACGCCCACAGTCCTTTGTGCTTCCCTCTGGTAGCACCCTCCATTCTGTGACGAAATGTTCTGTTGATGTGTCTGTTCCCCACTCTGGACTGTGAACTCCACAGGGGCAAGGACTATGTCGTCTAGCTCTGATTCTCCACACCTAGCCCAGGGCCTTGCTGACACAGAGTAGAAAATAACTAGGTGAATGAGAAAGAAAGTGAATCAGTTGAGAATCTGCGCTTATTGTAACCAGTTTTGATGCTGGTCTCCTTTGTGTCTCAATCACAATAAGAAGGTTTTTAATTAATGAATATGTCACACTTATTGTCAGAATCAACATTTTCATGCCCACCCCCATCTTCTACCCTGGGCTGAGACTGGTTTAAAGGATATTCCAACCCCCCCAGGTTGGACCCCATCCCCACTGTGTCTGGGGTGGGACCTGAGACTGTTTCCCTCTCTAGCCCTCTCTTTCCCTACTCTGCCCTGTCTCCCCACCACTTTCCCCCAGTCCTGTTATCCAGAGGGAGGAGTAGGGGAAGGGAGAGACAGGGAGCTGTTGTCTTCTCCTTCCCATTCATACATTCAGACCATACAGTACTTTAGGGTTCCTGCTACTTCTGGTTCCACTTAGCCAGCCTATAGGGTTCATTGTATAGAGGAGCCAGAAAACTTGGATAATGACTTAACCATTCAGCTTTTATTTAGGACACAACTTCCCCAAGAGCTATGACCTTTATTAACTTCTCTGACATCTAGGTTCCTACCATGTTCTGTTTACTCCACTGCTTGACCTGCCCATTCATTCCTTTATTCATGCCAGGCACTTTACATATCTTCTAATCTTCCCATCACCTCAACATTTAGCACAATTATAATGAATTAATTATTGGTGCAATTGTTTGGTTTTGCTACATAAACTCTGAGAATGCAGGAATCATGTCAGTCACCATTGTACCCCTATGCCTGGTGATTAACAAATGTTAATGAATGAGCTGAAGGATATAAATATTACTGCCCCATTTTACAGATGAAGAAACAGAAACTCAGGGAGAGTAAATATTTACACAGAATGACTCCCGCTGTAAGTCTCAGGCAAAAAAAGACAGTCTTATGTACTCTGGGGACTTTAACAAAGCATTTTTTTCCACTAAGGCTGCAAAGAGGTGAAACAAACTCTTGTGAAACAGACTCCAAACTCTCCTTCCTGATTGTGCCCCACTTTCTTGCTGAGGGGGCTGGATGCCAGAAACAGGCTTTTGTGCCCTAGTGAAAAGCACCTGCTGAAAGGGTTGGGGTCAGTCACTGCTCTGCCCGCAGGCATCCTTTGGTGAGCATCTTCTGGCTTCCACCACCACTCAGAACCCTGTCTTATGTACACAGAGTGGGAAAGTAAGGTGAGACTCAGTGTGGTGTATCAAACTTAAGCCAAAGGTAGCAAATAGAACCACTTACAGTCCACAGACAGGTTCTAATGTCCCGACTCACACATTGTTTGGTTTAATTAGAGCCAGTATTTTAAAAATCAGAAGATTCCCCACAGATCTGGACTTATGCCTTCTCTTAAAACTCTGAAGATCTGGTAATGCTGGCCCCACATCCCCCCATGGCAGTAATCTGCAGTCGCTGCGCAGCATCTGCCTCTTTTAGATAGCATGTGCTCCCTAGGCCACTCCTCTTCCATCCAGTCCACTTCCCTCATTTGCATAACCTGTACACATTTAATAGGAACCCTGGTGGCACAGTGCTTAAGTGCTTGGCTGCTAACCAAAAAGTCGGAGTGCGAACCCACTAGCCACTCCACGAGAGAAAGGTGTGGCAGTTTGCTTCTGTAAAGATTTACAGTCTTGGAAACTCTATGGGGGCAGTTCTACTCTGTCCAGTAGGGTCACTATGAGTCAGAATCGACTTGAAGGCAATGGGTTTGGTTTAGTTTTTTGGTACACATTTAAGTGCAGGACCTTGAGCTAATTAGGACCCCAAAAGTCCTCATTTCCAGTTGTTTCAGGCCACTAAACCGCATTGATCTGTTAACTAAGAACGCAGCCCCCCCCCCCCCCCGCTTTACTTCACAAGAAAACTAAAACAATTACTGCCTTATTAGCAAGAAAAAAAAATTTTTAAGCAGTTGAAGGAGACAGTGGGGAATAGTGTTTAGTGGTTACAAACTTGGGTTGAACTCCCACCTAAGCCTCCTTCTAGCTTGTAATTCTGGGCAAGTTTCTTGTCCCTCTGAGCCTCATGGGCAACTACACAAGAGAATGTGAAGCTTGCTACATGGCATCTTGTACAAAGAGGCTTCTCAAGCACAAGTGGGAGTGGGAGGCAGTGTGTGTCAGGAGCTGTGCCCAGGTGGCCATCCAAAGCCTAAGTGTTCTCACCTGCTCACTTACTGGCTGCCATTAAGTATCTCTTGGGCCCCTCAGCTTTGTAATCCAGGTGCATACTCAGTAGAGCTCCCCGGGAGACTTGCTAGAATGAAAACCAGCAGTTGGTGAGGGCCGGGCTCATCCTCCTGTTCCCCACCTCTGATCTCTCCAGCATCTCCTCGGACTTGGGCCAGTCTAGTTTGAAGGAACTCTAAAGACCTGGTTCTCCCACTGCTTAGCGTAAACCTGCCTCCTCAGGAATTGGAGCAGGGTATCAGTCAGTATCCTTATTAAAACCGTCTCATTATAATTTGTTCAGCAAGCATTAAACTACCTTTATTAGGGGTACAAAGATGAATGAGATAGTCCCTACCCTGGGGGACCTCCCCCTTAGAATCCTGCCTGCCTAGCCTGTGCCACATTCATTGCAAGTAGGAGGAAATGACACTGAAGAGTGTCTGCCACCTGACTGTTTTAGCAAGCCAGCAGACTCGACTGTGTAGAAAAACCAAAAGGCCTTTGAAGATAAAGATTTACCTCAGATTTCTAAAAATTTTCTTTCTTTAATATATGCCAGAGCAATAAGCGTTATTACCATGTCTGATGTCCAGGTGGACCTGGATTAGGACCCTACTACCTTAACTTACTGCAGCTAGACTTTTTGAGAGCAAGAACTATGCTTTATTCATTTTGGGGGTATTGTGCATGGTCCTTAGGTGCTCAATAAATGCCTTAAACCAAATTGTAACAACAGAAATAAGTTAGGTTTCTACCACTTTGTTCTTACCTGCCCCCACGCTTGGCCAGGCTGGCAGCTATTCATTTCTTTAGGCTATACATTGCACACATGCGCTCCCTAGGCTTCCTTTTGCCTGACGTCCATGTATTCACAAACACTAACCAACACTTGATCTATGCCAGGCCCTGTGCTAGCTGAGAATGAAGAAGTGAATCAGATGGGTCCCTACCCACAAGGAGTTTGTGGTGTAGAGAACACGTAAATAAGCAATTGCAATAATGCTAGATAAGGGTATAGCATTGGCTTCCTCTGATTTAAGGTCCAAATCCTAGATCCTAGCAAGTAGCCTTAGAAAGTGTTTCTGCCTCTTATGTTTTCTCACATATAAAATGGCAGTGATGCCAGGCTCACAGGGTTAACGTTAGGGTTAGACAAGTAATGTATGCAAACCATTTAGCACAAGTGGGAGCTACGATTAGGATAAATGCTTAGTGCTGAGGATGCACAGACATGATAACCTAGAGAAGGATGGGCCAGAGGAGGCTTCTCAGAGCTGAGTCTTCAAGGAAGCGGATTTGTTTCTCCAGAGGACAAGGTGGGAGAAAGGGATCTAAACAAAGGAAGCGACACATACAAAGGCCCAGAGGCGAGGAACTGACCAACTCATTTGGAGACTCAGGAGAGATGAGTGTGGAGAGGTTAGCAGGATTCTTGAAAACTACACCAAAAGGTTTGGATTTGATTCTGCAGGCAATGAGGCATCAAAGAAAGATTTTAAGTAGGGAATTAAGTGTGATGTGCTTCAGTAAGTTCCCTGATAGCATGTGAAGAAGTGATTCTCAGAGGAGAGGCACATATGATTGTGTAACACCCCCTCTCCCTCCCCCCAGCCTAACAAATCGTCAGAATCCCCTGGACTTGGCAGACCCTGTTCCTGACCAACAGAACAGCAACTCCAGGACTAGAACCCAGGAATCAATTGTTGAATTGCCTCAGGTGATTCTAATGTGTGTCTGGGTTTAGGAACTACTGAGTTGTGGGTACTGTGGGGATCTTTGCAGAGAGGTCTATGATACTCATCAAAGAATTGGTCTTCCCTGGAGGGAAGCTTTTCCATAAGCAGGAATGGAAACAGCTTTTGTTTAAAAAAAAACAAAACTCCCCAGTTCTCCAGCTGTTGTCCTATTAATGATACCCTCCAACTGCTAACCTTCAAAACACATACCCTTGCCTATTATATGCTGCACCCTCTGCCAAATGACTGGAATAAGAAGAATCGTGGGACACAGGCTCTGTCCTCGAAAAGCTCACAGTGTTGTAGAGAAGACAGATTTGTCAACGGCTAGAATACATGTGATAAGCACTATTCTAGAGCAGTAGAATCGATAGCTGCCATCAAGTTGACTCTGACTTATGATGACCTTATGTACAACAGAACAAAACATTGCCCAGTGGTGCATCATCTTTACAATCACCAACATGTTCAAGTCCATCATTGCAGCTGTTAAGCACTATTATAGAGATATGTTAAAGTGCTATGGGATCCCAGAGCAAAGCACAATTTATTCAGCCTTTGCCCTTGGGAGGATCTAACACCTAATCTGAGCCTACGAAGAAGAGAAGGAAGAGGCAGAAGGAACAGCATAAGTGAAGGTGTGAGTATGTCATGTATTAGGGAAAAAGAATGGTAAATGGTCCTTCATGGCAAGATGTGCAGAAGCAGAAAAGAGGACTGTGTAGGGGCATTCTTATGTCCTGGGAAGGGCCCATGTCTGCACCCTTCAGATCTCAGCAGCTCCGGGCCCATCTCCCACCTTCATCCTTCAAACTCCAGGCATTTCCTAGCTGAATAGCTGTGTGCTGATGCAGCCTGTGGCTAAACATGCTACAGGTTTATAGGCCATCTCCCCTTTATTCCCCACCCAAGTTGTTTAGCTCTCCAGCCCCCCTTGTGGTTTCCCCTTCCATTCTGAAATGAATAGATCTATTTATCTACTTTGAAAAATGATAATAAGGAAACTAAGGCAGAAAGAAGGGGCCTGAGGGACTGCAAAGAGTGAAGGTTCTTATTTAGGAAGTTGTTGCAGGAAGCATGGGCTTGGGGGTTAAAAGAAGTCTTGAAGGTCACCTGTTTAGTTCTCTGTCCTGTGCTTCAAGTAATAACTTTGGATTGGGCAAGTCTCACTTAGTAAGTTTCCCTGTCATTTCTTCCAGGGCAGAAGAGGAAAGAAACTAACGGGTATTGAGCACCTACTGTGTGCCAGACCCAGGCCAGGTATTTTACATAATTTATTTCCTTCTGTCCTCACAACTCTGTGAAGTATGGTTTTATTCCCATTTTATAAATGAGGAAATTGAGGCCCAGAGAAACTGAGTGATATTCCAAGATCATACTGAAAATGGCAGAACCAGGATTTGAACTCACAACTGTCTGTTTTCAAAGCTCATATTCTTCCACCCATGAGAAGCCTGTGCTGGGGTTATAGAGCAATAGGTGGGAGTTCTGCCTGAGGATCAGCTTAGGCCTTCCTGTGGCTGATTGCACGCAAGAAGCAGGTTCAATGGATGAGCTGGCCTTGAGGGGTGGAGCGTCCCTGGGGTCAGAGAGACTCATTGCCCTGACCTTGGAAGGACCTCCATTGACCGCCTGAGTGGGAATTGGGGCACTGAGGGCACTGAGGTGGGCTTGTGTTGTCTCCATAAGAATTAACTGCAGCTCTGTCAGCATTGGAATGGTCTGAGATTCTTAGTACCAGTGCCCTCTCATCTGTGACTCTGAGTGACAACAGCCATGCTTTCAGTGTAGCATGTTGGGAAAGGGGCTGGTTCAACTGTTTTAAATTCTATCCTTTGTGTAGAGCCCCTGAGACATAAGCCAAATGGCCTTTGACTTCTCATTCATTTATTCATTGAATGCCTGTTACATGCCAGGCCCAAGCCATGCCTAGGTCCTGGGGACACTTCACTGACCAAGACCCACTCCCTACCTACAAGGGGCTGGGGGGCAGACAGGATACAGCCATGACACAATGTGATAGGTGCTATTCTAAAAGAATTAGTTCTACTTAGCCTGGCCCAGCAAAACTTTTGTTGACCTATGACCAGGGTCTTAGGAGGTAAATAGGAATTTGTCAAGGAGAAGAGCTGAGGTGTTGAAGTTTTAACAGTCAGAAGTGTATCTGAGGAACAGTATGACTAGAACCTGAGGTTCTCAAGTATTAGAGTGGAAGTGAAGAATGAAGAGGTCAGCTGGGGCCAAGTCATGAATGCCAGGGGCAGAAGGTACCGTGGTAGTGAATTCATTACAAACTAATCATTAGCAGTGCTCAGCCAGGGGGCCTGCCCCATGTGCTGGTGATAGGGGGAGACTGGGGATTAAAGAGGGACAAAGTAGCAAGGAGGAGTTAAAGGCAGGAGATGGACAAACTAGCTAGGTGTGGGAGAACTCGGGACAAGGCACAGCTTAAGCTTATGTTAAGTAGGGAAGCCCAGTGCCCTAGTTGTTTGTTTTTAGTTTGTTTATTCCCTGCTTAATTCTCCAAAATAACTATGAGGCGTCCTGGGAGTTTGGGAGCATTGATAACCCCATGCATGAACTTGCCTGGTTTATGTGTTCTTAAAGTGGGAACTCTATATTGTTTGAGGTTTCCTCTGCACCTAGCACAATGGTTGGCACCAGGTAGGTGCTCTGAGAATGTTTGTGGAATGAATGGGTGAATGGAAGAACGAGTAGGGTGACTGGGGTGATGAGTTTTTCTGGGCTGGGGATTAATCATTTTCCCTGCTTCTGGGAGGAACTTCAGCTGCTATTGCTGTCTTCAGCCTGCCTTGGTGACAGGGAGGAAATGGGTGCCTTGAGAGTAGAGGGCTCTAATGAGCCATTTCAGAATAGAATTTGGAACTTATTGCAGGGCAGCTGGCTAGTTACAGCATGTGTCTTGGGGAAACCCTGTACAAACAGACACGAACTCTTGGGACTGAAAAGAATCCACGGGAGCCATGAGAGCAGGTTTAGGGCTGGAAATTAGATCTAGCTCCAGAGCAGTCCTTGATAACTTCCTGGTCTGCAACCCGGGCCCTTCCCCACAATTCCCAAATTGGACAAAAAGGCTGAGGTGGAAAATTGAGTGAAGCCACCAGAGAACTATCCAGATATGCCATGAACTGTATCGTTGTTACTAATCACTATCACTTACCAAGCACCTACTGTGTGACCGGTGCTATTAGGTGCTTTATGTCAGCAGTTCTAAAAGTGTCTGGTCTCAAGATCCTTTTACATTCCTGAAAAGTATTCAGCACCCCAAAGAGCTTTTGTTTATGCTGATTATATCTATCGATATTTACCAAATTAAGTATTAAAATTGAGAATTTTAAAAAATATTTAGTTACTAATTCGTAATAGTGCTACACCTATCACATGTTAACATAAATAGCATTTTTATGAAAAATAATTATTTTCAAAAAATCAGTGAGAAGAATGATCTTGTTTTTATTTTTGCAAATTTCTTTTTGTCTGACTTTATAGAATAAAACTGGATACTTATATGCTTCTGCATTCAATCTATTGCAAGATGTTGTTTTGGTTGAAGTATATGAAAAGAAAATCCAGCCTCATACAGATATACAAATGGAACAGGGAGGAGTATTTTAATAGTCTTTCCAGATGATTGTAGCTATTCTTTGCAATATGGAATCTGAAACCATATTGGTGAACTTTTTATATTCTTGTTACATGAAAACCCATTGGTCTGTCTTGCACTTGGAATGGATCTTTTGCTCACTCGTGATTTTGTAACATACTTTATCATTTGGAAAACAGGTTCACTGAGTTATACAAATCTTCCAAATGTCCCGTTTTATTTTCCGATATCCAAAGATAACATTTGTTATCATCACTCTCAATTTCATCAGAAAGGTCTTTAAGCATTGGGAAGCTGTCAAGCTCATGTTGGTGGATACAAGTTTTCAAAAATTCTTTCACTTGAAAGATTGAATTTTATCACTGGACACAAATACTTTCACTTGTTTTTCTTGAAGGAACAGGTTCATTTTTTCATTTTTGAGAAAATGTCTCCTCTCCCAAATACCTAAGTCTGAATAACCATAGTTTCAATCATTCTTTCAAGTAAAAATAGTGTTCTGTGGAAAAAGTGGCTAATTCAGCTCACGACTGTCCCACATGTGCTTTTCTGCAAGACACCACCATACGCTGGTGTGCTGCAAAAGTGCTTTATGCTTGCTTCCCATTTTATCACACAGGATATTTAAAACGTAGACTGTAGAGGCAACATTTGATAAAATTAATAATTTTTACTTCTTTGTCAAGGACATTCTTAAGTGAAACCGGCACTTTTCCTTCTTTCTTCTTTTTAACCATGGTGCATGGTGGTGAGGACTACAATGACTACCAGTGGTTCAGTGCCACTGCCTTGATCTGTGTTAAGGCACCAGAATTTTACCCTTTTTCTTTTTTTTTTTTTGCACCATTAGTATAAGTATCAACATAGTGAAAAAGGTACATAACAGCTTCATATTATAAAAATAGTTTTGACCTCGGGGCCCATGGACCGAAGTTTGAGACCTACTGTTTTATATTATTTATCTATAATCCTCATAAGAGCCCTGCCCAGTAGATGTTATTGACCATTTTAAAATTTTAAAATTAACTTCTTCAGTATCACCATGACTAAGTCCCAGACAGCACTTCTATGTCATTGAATTTTAAAAAGACTACTTCTTTGTACCAAAGCAAACCTGGCTTGTGGCCAAGCTGCCTTTGGTTTTGTAGTTGTTTTAAAAAAGAAGTAGCATCCCTTCCTCCTGGCAATGTGGCAGGCTTACAGGCTTCCTGAGCAGAACAGGGCTGGGGTTTCAGCCCCCACTTGACCCCTTGGCCAGGCACACTGCATACCTATTCACAGTAGCTCTGGCCCCAGAGCCCAGATTTAAACCCAAGTAAGCCTATTCCTTTTCCGTTGTGCATTGTATCTCACTACTTATTCCTTTGTACCAAATATACATAAAAGCCTCTACTCCTGTGATCTGAATTGAGAGCAGATAGTTCTAAGGTCTGTGGTAAGTCAACTGCACCTCATTCTGTTCCTTCCTGATGTTTAGCTCTACCACCTGAGGCTCTGGGAGACTGTGGGTGCTCTGTTCTTCCATTTGTATCTTCACAGAAGCAGTCAGTCGGTAAACGCTTATAAAGCATGGTGTATCACTAGAGCTAGCATGGGTCCACTGTGCTAAAGAAAGCAGTTGAATAAGCCATAGTTCCTGCCTTTGAATCTAGCAGAGGAGACAGGCATGAAAATAAAATAATGCAGCAAAGTGTTTCAGGAGTATGCCAAGATATGCTGGCTCCAAAGAACTCCTACTACTTCAGCTTTTTCCCAACCAGAAGCCAAACTTTAGTGCGTGAACAAGGAAGTAAAGTGATTACATGGTCAACTTCCCCCTTCCTTTGATTTTATCTCTTTTTATCCAGGAAAAACTAGAATGCCCTAATAAGTTCATGCTTATCAGGCCAGAAAAGTCTTGGGCCTGGTCAGGTAAAGGAGAAGTTTTAATGGCTGCAATTGCCAGCACCCTGGGCCCCAGAGTGGCCACAGACTAGAGTTCCCCTGGCTTCTTGGCTGCTCCGGCCATGTGGGAGATGCAGCATGAGTCCCCTGTGCGAGTAACCCCAAACTGTCCAGAGATTCTGGTTTTGCTTAGAGTATCCTGAGAGATTGAAGTAGAATTATCTTGGAACTTTTTTGAGCAGATCCAAAATCAAGAGGAGCCCTGTATCCTTTCCTTCCTCTTTCCTAATCTTCTTCTTACAGGTAGACCTATATCCAGAGGGGGTCTAAAACTTAAGCTGAAGTGAGAAGGAACAGTTAGTTGTTACCCAGGGCTTCTGGGTTTGAGAAGAAGTTTCATCAGCCTTCATGATGAAGAAAAATGGTTAGCTGTTTCATTCATTCAGTAAACATTTACTGAACATGTTCTCTCTGTGGAACTACTATACCAGCTGCTAAGACTACAGCTTGAGAACAGCTAATCGAAAGCCTGAACTGACTGGCTCTTTGGGGTTTAAGGGGTCATGATTGCCAGAAATTTGGGGAATGACAGGAGATTGCAGCCAAAGGGAATCTTGAACTGAGAGCTTTTCTCTGCCAAAGCAAAATCTGAAGTAACAGTGGTATTACTGACTGAATGTAGTATCTCTAGGGCTTGGGATTTCCACCACCCTCTGACAATTAGCACAGAGGTGATTGAGTGAGAGAGAAAAGTCCACTGGACTCACCGCGATTATATCCAGGGGCAGACACCAGGGCCTTGGGGGTGGCCTCCAGAACTGCCTGGCCCTAGAAGGGACTCAGGTATACCAAACTCAGAGAGGACAGTGGATAAACCAGTTTCCATTGTAGACTTACTAAGAACAGAATGGCCAAGGGCCTAGATAATAGATTATCTACTGCATGGGTCCCTCAAGCTAAGTGCTTTGCTCCTGTGATGTCAGTTAATCTTCTGGGCAACCTTATGTAGTGTAGATGGTATCAGCCTTACTTCTAAAAAAAACTTGTTGCTGTCCAGTCGATTCTGACTCATAGCAACCCTGTAGGACAGAGTATAACTGCCCTATAAGGTTTCCAGGGAGCGGCTGTGGATTTGAACTGCCCACCTTTTGGTTAGCAGCTGAGCTCTTAACCACCGTACCACCAGGCTCCAGCCTTTCTTCAGTTAGAGCTTCATTAGCTTCCCAGGCCCTGTGTTTCTTCTTATAACTGGGGAGACAGCCTGTCCAGTAAAGTCACTTCCATTGATGGCTAATCTCCTTTATTATGTGTACCAGTTTTGTTCTAGGGAGAGTCCCATTATTTCCACGAACTGAGGGCATCTCACTGTAATCCCTGAAGAATGCAGTCTTCCACTCTTGAGTTTGGAACTGTTTGGGTGTAAGTTTAGTATGGGGAGATGCCCCTTCTCAGTAGAAAGCAGTCATTTCAAGCCATGCCTCACAAGCTGCCTGCCAGCTGTACTGCCATGGGGACACGTTACAAACCTGATTGAGCTGATGTGTGCCCAGCTGGGCCTATGGCCTGTGCCAGGCCCTTTCCTGTACCGTGAGGGATCCAGACAAGAATCAGACTTGTTGCCTACCTTCTAGGAGCCTGCTTTAGTATACAAGACAGAAGATACAGGTAAATAAATTATATGCAAGGCACAAATACTATAACCAAGGCAATATGAGCTATGGGAATATGGGATAGGAGAGATGACATAAAAGAGGAACTCTATAGAAAAGCTTAGAGGAGGCTGGATTTAAGCTGAGCTTTTAAGCCCTGTCCAGCTACTTATTAGTAAAGATGGGGAGGAAGGAAGTTTTAAGCAGAGGATCCTCTTTAGCAAAGCCCTGAGGTAGGAGGGTACAGAGAGTATTTGGAGCACTTAAGGAATGACCTCATGGAGTTGGAGACAGAGATTAAGATGTCTAACAAGTCACCTTAGGTTCATGGCATGTGAGAGATGCAAAGACCGTATATTCTATATTTTCATCCCTAGTCCTGAATTTTATATTGTTTCCCATTGCTCCTATCATGTTAATAATTAGTACCATTTATTAAACAAATTATTATCTGCCCAGCACTGGGCTGGGTGTTGTATAACATTTATTTCTCACAGCCAACCCCACAAGTTAGGACTTAATCTTATTTTACAGATAAGGAAACAGAGAGGGTAAGTAGAACTTACCCAGCACCATACAGCTGGTGTGTGATGGAAGCCCAGGTTTAATGCCAAAGCCAGTGTTCCCACTGGACTCCAGCGCCTCCCACAATACTTTGGCACTAAGTACAGAAACATTCATCACACTTTTAACTTACTAGAATTTTATATTTAAAACAAACAGAAAACTTATTGTACATTGCTATATACATTTATACATTGAATTCTTCATTGCACCTACAAAACTGCTTATATTGTACTTTACAGGCCGTATAAAGAATTTCAAGAATAATTTTACTTATACAAGATTTTCATCTTATGTAATGACATTAGAACCTAACACCCAAATGAAAGTAAACTCTGTTGTAGTAAAAATACATGTCCTGGTGTTTGCCTTAAGAATATGGTCAGCACCATTTACAGGGAAAGGGGCTTGAGCCTCACCTTCTCCATCTGGAGTGACTGTGGCTCCTTGTAGCAGTGGAAAGTTTCCTGGGTCTAGTTCTAAAAAGACCTCCTTGGCCTTAACTTCCCTGAACACCATGCTTCTAAATCAACCTTTCATCCCTTTCCAAGGGGTACTTACCAGTGATCGGTTCTGGAGGGCTATCTCTTTTTGCAGTAGCCATTAGGCACCTGCCTTGCTCACTGAAATGTTCTTTTGGTAGAGACTGTCTAGGCAGTATCTCACATGAGTTCTACATGTAAAATCCTCTCTCTCTAGTAACTCTTTCCCAAACTCCTCATACTTCCACAAATGTTTCATTATGCTCTTGGTACCACTCTTTGGAAAAAGGAACTTTCTTTTTCAAGAAAGCAGGGACCCAGGTCAGTGTAAGTGTAACATTACAGGCCCTGATGCCAACTCATTTTGAGAAGGTGATTTTATGCAAGAAAGAAGATGGCATTGGTTTTATTGGTAGGATAAGGGTAATACCCTTTATTGCTTTGCTTAGGCCTTTGCAAACACCTATTACCTAGTGGTGGCTAAGTTTGGAAGGTATATCAGTAAACTATTGCTGCATAACAAACCACCCCAAAACTTAGTGGCTTAGAATGACACCATTTGTTATTTCTCAAGAGTGTGGTTTGGCTGGGCTTGGCTGATCTCAGCTGGGCTCACTCTGTATCTCTGATCAGCTGGTAGATCAACTGGGAGCTGGTTGGTATAGGATGGTCTCAGCTGGAAGACTCCATGTTCTCCCCTTGTCTCTCACCTCCCTGCAGCAGCTAGTCTGGTCATGCTCTCATGTCATGGCAGAGGTGCCAGAGCGAGCAAGTCCAGTCATGCAAGAAAGCGAGTAGCAGTGCATGCACTTTAAGCTTTTGCTAACATCCTACATTTGCTAACATTACATTGGCCAAAGAAAATGCCCTGGCCAAGCCTAGCATCAGAGTGGGAGGGGACTGCAGAGTTACAGAATCTAGGGAGGCCATTAATTGGGGCCATTAAATGGGATCAGTCTACCAGTCACCACCCCTCAATGTGAAAGAAAACCTACTGACTTGTTGTACTTGGTCAAATTTGTCCTAGAAGGAAAAAAAAAAAAAGCCCAAATAATACTGCTTATTGGCCTGTGGTATGAGCATGAGTAGGGCTAGGCACTTACCTGCTTATGCGCTGATCCTCACAACAACTCTGCAAGGTAGGTAGGAAATTGGAGCTCAGGGAAGTTAAATAACTTGCTCAAGGTCACCTAGCTAATACATTGTCAAGCAGGGATTAGAATGCATGTCTGTCTGACCCCAAAGCCCAAGTTCTTTTCACCATACTCACTGCCTTTCCGAAGCACCAGGATGTGCCTTCCCTTCGCTTTTCCCTTCCCTCTCCCCCTCAAATGCTGCTGTGATCCTAGTAGAATTATGCAACTCTTCCAGAAACCCACACGGGCTCCCAACCTCTCCCATTGACTGAAAGCTTTCTTTCCTTCCCAGTGAGGATTGATCTGGAGAATTGTGGCCCCTTCCAGACGTGCCAGAGAGGAAGGGACCATCTTCTCTTTGACCTTCAAGATTTGGGGGCATCATGGATTTCTAGGCATTTGAGCATGGCCTTGGGAGTCAGACTGACAGGAGTTCAAATCTAGCTCACCCACTCTATAACCTTGGGCAACTTATTTAACTTCTTGAAATCTGTTTCTTCATCTTAAAAAAATGGGAATAATACCACTTAGTTTGCAGAGCTGTTACAAGGACTAAAATTATGTATATGAAGTGCCTAACAGTGCCTGGCATGTAATACATAAGATTATTAATATCATTAATATTATTTCTAAGTACAGCCTTTCCCCTCCTGGGAAACCCTGTTTCTGTCTATTGGACAGGTTCCCCCCACCTTCAGCCAGTCTGTGCAGACTTGCTGCCTACTGTGTCACCGGGAACGCAAAGGCTGGGAAGAAGGCCCTTCTCAAAATGGACTGGTGTTGCAGGGTGAGAAGCTGCCCCCAGACTTCATGCCAAAGCTCGTCAAGAACCTCCTAGGCGAGATGCCTCTGTGGGTTTGCCAGAGTTGCCGAAAGAGCATGGAGGAAGATGAAAGGCAGACAGGTCGAGAACACGCAGTCGCGGTAGGTAACTGCTGAGAGGGGGGGTCCCTGAATGCAGGAGGGCTGCCTCCCCAAAGAAGCCAGGCCATCCCTGCCCTAGCCTCAAGTGACTCCACTTGGGCAGCCCCAAATCCTCGGGCGCTAGAGGCTGCTGGGTTGCATTGACACGTTAGTGGCTTGGGTTCAGATTTAAGGGAAGAAGAAAAAGGCTTCAGGCGGCCCCTCAGGACAGTCTGCACAATCCTTCGCCACTGACATGCTGCCTTCAGCTCTGGCAGCTTGAAAGCCAATCATTCTGACATGGAAGGCAAGGGTTGGTTTGAGGGTCTGAATGTGCCTCAGTTAGAAGGCCTCCAAGATAACTGGGAGCCATCTAAGTTGACCAGCTCATAAATTATGCTAGCCAGACTTTCCTTGTTTCTCATTCTCCTCCAGACCCTCTTTATCCAGAGTCAGTTCAGCTTCCGAATTCCTAACCTAAAGACCCGCTTCTTCTACCCTTCCGTGGCCAGCTCTCACTACTCCCCAAAGGCCCACCTTTGTTCACAGGCAGTCTCTACCCCTGCCAGAGTCTCTCTCACCGATACTCACACACTTCACTTAACTGGGAGCACCTCATTCTCCGCCCAGCAAAGCCCTGACCAGCATTTCCCCTTGCACTTGAGAGACCAGTCATTGCGCTTTGCCCTGGCTCAGGAGCCTGGGGAAGGAGTGTCTCCCCCTGGGTATGCTTAGGCAGCACAGGGCCAACTCTGATATTTACTGTTTTACCTTGAGCCTTTTTCTTCCCCCTTCTCCAGATCTCCTTGTCACACGCATCCTGCAAATCACAGTCTTGTGGGGGTGACTCTCATTCTTCTTCGTCCTCTTCTTCATCATCCTCGTCCTCGTCCTCGTCCTGCCACGGGAACTCAGGCGACTGGGATCCCAGCTCATTCCTGTCAGCACATAAGCTCTCGGGCCTCTGGAACTCTCCACACTCCAGTGGGGCCATGCCAGGCAGCTCTCTCGGGAGTCCTCCTGCCATACCTGGTGAGTTTCTAAGCTCGAGAGAGCCAGGCCTTTAACTGCCCTAGAATTTGTGAGGAAGGGGTTTTATTGCTCTCAGATAGGTCTGGGGAACCCATAAATGCAGAGAGCTGTGGTTTCCAAACAAATCAGAGTATCAGTCATTAAAACAAGTAAAAATGGGGCTTTTCTGATTGAAGGGGGGGGGTGGGCCTAGAACTTGACCGTCTCTGTGGAACTCCTATCCCCAGGACTCTGGCATTCGAAAAATATTGCTAATAGAAAACAGTTTGCCCTCAGAGCTGTCATTGGCTCTCACAGCTGTTCATCATTAGATCCAGGAGGGGACCTGGTGAGCATAGTCTGAACAGAAAGTGGAGTCTGGAAGGGCCCTTAGGGAATTAGGGCTTAGATCACCAACCCCTGACCCGTGTAGCACCTTGTTCCTGTTGTTAGGTGCCATTGAGTCGGTTCCGACTCACACTGACCTTATGTACAACAGAATGAAACGCTGCCCTGTCCTTTACCATCCTCATAATTGTACTTGAGCCCAGCATTGTAGCCAGGGTGTCAATCCATCTCATTGAGGGTCTTCCTCTTTTTCACTGACCCTCTACTCTACGAAGCATGATGTCCTTCTCCAGAGATGGAGCCCTCCTGATAGCATGTCCAAAGTCTGTGAGGCGAAGTCTGCCATCCTCACTTCTAATGAGCATTCTGGCTGTAGCACCGTAGAGGCCTCATTTTCTCCAAAGAAAAATGAATATAAAAGCCCTGCATTTCCATCCAAAAGAGACTTCCATGACTATTAGACAGTTTAGCAGCTATATAAACCTTCTTTGGACTCTGAGATAGCCCTTAGAGACCCAGAAAAAAAACTCTTGGGTTATTGATTTACTATGTAAATAGGATTTACTGTCATACTTCTACATGGAGAGGCTGAGTTCTGCAAAGCGGTGCTGTCCGCAGATCTTGGGAGAGTTGGGCAGTACCTGTTCCAGTTTATTTTGGTGCGTAAGCCAGAGAGAGTCATTACAGCCTTTTCCAACTTCACTGAAATCCGGGGCCACCTGGGTGTCTGGCAGACCCTGGCTGCATCAGCCCTCATGCCCAGAGGCAAAAGCTTGGCCTGCAGCTCCACTGGCTTCTGTAGATTCTGCCCTGGGCCTGGGGGATGCCCAGGGACAAGCAGGTCCTGGAGAGGCCCTGAGGGACAGAACACATATTCCCTGTTCATGCCGCAGCAGAGGTGCGTTGCCGTCAGTGGCCCAGCGTTCCCAGTGCAGTCTCCCTCAGGCCTGAGCTCCTCAAGCCTGTCTCACCTAGCTGCCGCCTGCAAAGATTCCTCCCCGCCCAAGGCACTACAGAGCGCTCCAGGGTCTGCAGCATGGAGAGGCTGTGCCCAGAACAGAGGGCTTCTCTGGTCACAGCAAGGAGGGTGCTGTGGCAGTGAGCCTTTAGGTTTTCCTTCCTCTGGGCTGGGCGCCCACACTGACACCTTCCTCCCCATCTGCCCACAGGTGAGACTTTCCCCATCTCGGAGCACCACCGGCACTCAGACCTCACTGTCCCTCCTAACAGCCCCACTGGCCACCACCCCCAGCCAGCGTCTCTGATCCCATCTCACCCTGGATCCTTTGGCTCACCCCCCCACCCCCACCTGCTGCCCACTACCCCGGCAGCGCCTTTCCCTGCCCAAGCTTCCGAGTGCCCTGTCGCCACTGCTGCTGCCCCCCATACCCCAGGGGCATGTCAGAGCCCCCACCTGCCCTCTACCAGCATGCCGCTCCTAAAGATGCCTCCAGCATTCCCGGGGTGCGGCCACCCCTGTAGTGGGCACTGCAGTGGGCACTGCAGCGGGCACTGCAGCGGGCCTCTCCTCCCACCACCAAGTTCTCAGCAACTCCCCAGCACTCATAGGTAAGTGAAGGGCAGACTCCCTGGCTGACCTGAGCTCAGAGTTTTGGAAAACTTTGTAAGGGTGCCTTTGGGGTGGAAATGAAAGGGTACACTGTATTTATTGTTTTTCTAGTTATGAAAAAAATATGTTTATTATTTAAAAAAAAAAAAACCTTGGAATAATTCAGAAATGTATAAAGAAAAAAAATGTCCCCACAACCCAAAGATAAACTTCTAACAGAGTGGTATATTTTCATTATGTTTTTTATATAAATGACATAATTAGATCTATATTCTATATGCATTTTGGAGTAGTTATTTTTTTAACATGACATCATAGCCAACCAGCCAGTTGCCATCAAGTCAGTTTCAACTTCTGGCAACCCTGGTGTGTGAGAGTAGAACTGTCAATGGCTAGTTTTTTTCAGAAGTAGATCACCATCCTTTCTTCCAGGGTGCCTCTGGTAGACTCAAACAGAAAACTTCAGATAGCAGCCAAGCTCATTAACCCACAGCATTTCCCCAGTTAAAATTCTTCAAAAAACTTTTCAGTGGCCACGTGATGTTTTATTATGTAGCTCTAGCATGTTTTATCATTCCCCTATTCCTGGATATACAGGTATTTCCAGTTTCTTATAAGTAAATAAAGCTGCGAAAGCATTCTTGTGCCTAAATCTTCATTTGAATCGGGAATGATGTCCTTAAGGTGGGTTCCTAGAAGTAACTCTAAGTGAACTAACTCTTAATTACTGAGAAAGGTTATATTAATACATATTGGAAAGGTAGAATTCTTTAGATAGGTGTATGTTTTTGTATTATAAATCAGATCTGTTTATTTTGCATTTATATTTTTCTACTCCCTTAATGCAACCCCTCTGAGCAATGTGTTTTGGTGTGTGTTGTTCGTACCCGGTACCAATGGTGTCTGTGCAGTTTCACATTCTCTGGTTTTTCACTTAGTGTTACATCATAAGCACTTTTATGGCCCTGTGTGGTCGTCCTAGCCCTCAGCTGTAAAGGCTGGAGAATATTGACCATAGTTCAGTTAACCGTTCTCCAGTTGCTCAGCATTTGTCATTCCCACACTTTAACATTATTAATAACGTCCCTAAAGATTTCTGTGCCTAAGTTTCCTCCCTGTTCCTGGATTTTTCTCCTTGGAATAGATTCCTCAACAGGAAAAAACATTCTCAGTTAAAGCATGTTTTGTTTTGTTAGTTTTTGTCTTTTGGAAGCAGGTTCTTAGTATGCATTGAAAATTGCTTTCCAAAGGGCTCTCCAAATTGATGTGATCACCAATAGTAAGAGTGCTGGTTTCTCAATAGTCTCAGGAGCACTGGGTATTTTAATTTTTCTAAAAATTATTTTGCTAATGTAATAGATGAAAGATGGTAGATTTGGTTAAACTTCTACAAGTACCACTAATAATGATCCTCTCTCCCCTCCTTTTTTTTAACACTTGCCATGTGCTTCCTGCTCTTTCTACCAGCAGAGAGGGGTTACTAGTTGGACTGCCACAGGAGCAGAGCAGCCACACTGCTCCTTGGTCTCCATCTTCATTCTCGGCTCCCTGTCACCTGAGCCTTAGCCTTAGCATTGGGACTAGCCCCTGCAGCACTGGAACATCTGATAGGCCAACCTAGGACTCTGGTTCTTCTGGGCTCTCCAGTTCTGAGACCTTTCATGCTGATGTCTCGTTCTTACCCTGGGAGAATGTTCTATACTACAAGATACTCCCAGTACCTCCTGAAATCTAATGGCAGTACAATGCAATGAAGAGAGCATGAGCTTTGCAGACAGAGCCTGAGTGTTGGCCCCTTAGGCAAAGCAGTTAAGCACTCTGAGCCTCCATTTCCTCTGCTGCAATATGGGGCTAATAATGCCATTTTGCAGGAGTTAGGGGTTGGTTAGAAATAATATGCTGTGGACCAGAAGACACGTTAGCTTTTCCTGAACTTAATGCTCTGTGGGTAAGGCAGCTCAGCCTACTGGTGCAGAGTACCAGACTTGGGTCATAAGGACCTTAGAAAGTGAAAGAAAACTGGGCCCACTTACCACCTTTGGATGTTCCAAGGGAGCCATCAGCCCACTAATTATTTTCAGATACTTACTTACTGAGCACCTGCGGTGTTCAAGGTTGTTAAGCTATGTGTGCACTGAGGACCCACAAATAAAAGTGGCATAGTCCCTGCCTTTGGGGAACACTGTGGTTTGAGAGACCAGTGGGCAAACAGACCATTACAATAAGCATAAATGGTAGGATAGAGAGAACTGTGCATGATGCCGAGAGACTCCTGAGAAGAGTGTGCACTGGTGGTTGTGGCAGAAAAGGTGTGGGAAACCTTTCCAGATAGCGACATTTGGGATGGGCCCTGAGGGACAGTGAGGGGTGTTCACACTGTCCTTGCAAGAGGTGGTAATGTAGTTTGACTGCCTCAGACCTTGGTGGAAGGAGGCAGGTGAAGGGTAGCTGGAGAGGTGAATAGGGGTTGAGATGCTTTTCTGGGCTCCTGTTATGGACTGCTTCCAAGTTGCCCTCCCTCACTTTGGGGCCTGTCTTTCTGCCCCATCAGCAGGGACTCCGGGTACAAGGGGCACAAGTTTACACACAGTGGCCTGGCATGCCAGCTACCCCAGCCCTGTGAGGCAGATGAAGGGCTGGGCGAGGAAGAGGATAGCAGCTCGGAGCGCAGCTCCTGCACCTCGTCCTCCACCCACCAGAGAGATGGAAAGTTCTGTGACTGCTGCTACTGTGAGTTCTTCGGCCACAATGCGGTGAGTGAGCCTGCCCAGACCAGAGAGGGCTGGGGGCCAGCGAAGTGAGCCAGAGGAGCCCTCTGCTCTCCCCAGAGTCCCCTGTGACTCACGGGAGAACATTACTGTTCTTTTTATAACAACTATGCTGGGACCATGTAAGTCCTTTCACTTGCGTCCGCTCGTGTGATTCTCACATCAGGTTTGTGAGGTAGGGATTTTTTAAATTTTGCTACCTTTGCTCTTTTCATGGTTTCTCTTAAGATTGGCTTTTTTTCCTTAGGCAAAAGGAAAGGAAATGGCAGAGAGAAAGCTATGATTCTGATGAGTCTGTATATGTGTGTAATCAGAGAAATGAGCACTTGTGAGTGATGAAGGCAGAGTGGAAGCAAAGGCTCTCAGTCCCCAGTGTGACAGCCAGCCGAGGGGAAGGCCGTGGGCCCAGATCGCACCAGCCAGGAGGCTCAGATCAGAGCGCATGCCCTCTGGACAGGGGGAGGAAGAGTGCAGGAGCCTCATAAGGTGAAGAGGAGAGGGCTGCTGGTTAGGGGAGAGCAGTTGAGGAGAGAAGAAATGAAAGTCATTAAAGTACCAGTCACCTTTGAGCTAGGAACTACTGTCCTCATTTTAAAGATGACAAAACTGAGTCTCACAAAGACTGAGTGACTCGCCCAAGGTCATACAGCCTCCAAGTGGGGAAGCCAGGCTCAAACCTGGCCTCCTAGCTCCCCATCAGTGTTCTCCCATGCTGTCGTGTACTGCCCCCCCTCCCCGCCCCGCACCCCGTGCACCAGCCTTGGCTCCAAGCCTGGCTGAGGGAGACACCATTTGGCCCTGTGGCTGATGGTAGAGAGAGCAGTTGTCTCACTTCTCACCACATCTCTGGTGCCAGTGGGTGGGAGTGTGATGGGCTCCCAGGCCCAGGGTGTAATGTCAGCACCTCCCCCTCCCCCAGCCACCCGCTGCCCCGACGAGTCGGAATTATACCGAGATCCGGGAGAAGCTCCGCTCGAGGCTGACCAGGCGGAAAGAGGAGCTGCCCGTGAAGGGGGGAGCCCTGGGCGGGATCCCTGGGGAGCCCACCGTGGACCACCGAGATGTGGATGAGCTGCTGGAATTCATCAACAGCACGGAGCCCAAAGTCCCCAACAGCGCCAGGGCCGCCAAGCGGGCCCGGCACAAGCTGAAAAAGAAGGTGGGTTTGGGGGGTAGCCCAGCTCTACCGCCTCTCCTCCCTGAGGAACCCCTCACCCCAGCCCGTAAGATTTCTGGGGTATGAATGGTGCTGGCTGCCAAGGGCCTTGGCATGGCTTACTACTCTGGGAAAGTCTGAATGAGTTTGGGAGGCATCAGGGTCAGGGCGCCTGGGGCACATGACTGGAGGAAAACCATGTCCTGGCCTCTGAAGCTGCTTATGGAGCCCTCCCAGCCCAAGACTTGCTTCAGTCACTCAACCCCTTACTCCTTTAGCAAATACTTTTCCAAATACTGGAAGCAAAGCGTGACACAGTGCAGTTCTCACCTGGAAGAGCTCAGTCCAGCGGGGAGACTAACACAAAGCTGGCCAAGCACACTAGAGGGTGACCTAGTCAGTCCTGCAGGGCATGCTGGAAGTGGCTGTACCAAGAGAATGGCTCATGAGCTGAGTGGCAGGGAGTGGTACAGACTCACCAGGGGGCCTCTAGGCAGCCAGCACAGCACATTCCACAGCAACGTGGTCTGGCCTCAGCTTAAAACTGAAGCAAGGCAGGACCGATAGTAAAGACGAGGGAGGGCCTCTGCGGCCCTGCTGAGAGCTTGGGCTCAATTCTGCAGGTGAGAGGAAGTCACCTGCAGGATTTAATCAAGGAATCCACCTGGTCGGATCTGTACTCTAGGATTACTGTGTGGCAGTATGGAAGGTGGGTCGGAGGGGGTGCTATTCAAGGCAGGAAATGGTGGCCCAGGGGAGAGATGATTGATGATGCTTGAATGAAGGCCAGCTCTGCGGCAGGAGCTGAAGAGATGGGTTTTTAGAGGAAGTGACAGACCTCAATGATCCAACTGCAGGAAAGGGGGAGGTGAAGGAGTCAGGGGTGTCTCCAGGTGTTTGCTTGGGTGACTGGAAAGATGGTGGTGCCTTTCCCGGAGTGAGGATGAGATTTGCAGATGATAGTGAATTCTGTTGGGGCGTGTTGACTCGGAGGGTCCCATGAGACACCCAAGTGGAGATGGAGGTGCAGGGCTGGGAGTTTCGAGCACAGAGATGTAATTGAGGCCATGGGAGTGAGTGAGTCCACAGGGCTGAGTTCTCCTCACAGAGGGCTGAGGATAGGACTTGGTGAGCTATTTCCGGGCAGCTCTGCTGTCAGATGAGCCCCAGGGCTTGGTGGCTTGTCCCTAGCTGCCTCGTTACCTCTTAACCTGACTGTACCCCAACTGCATCTGCACAGTGCCACCCTTGGGAGCCCAGCATCCGAAGAGATTTGGGGTTGACAACCAGCTGGCTCTAGTTTCTGGGTGGTCAGACAGCCCTGGTACTCTGGAAAGCAGAAGTGATTCTTCATCTTTATCTCCAGTGCAGAGGACTACCAGGATCTTTTCCCTGCAGCCTGAAGTAGGGAGCCAAGGGGTCTCACCACTGCCTGCAGAAAATGGTCTGCCCTTTCTTTCTCCCACCCAAAGTTGCCCGCCTCAACTGTTTCAGTAGGCTTCAGTGGTCTCTCGGGCCTGGCCAGCTCGTAAGGCAGTGGTGCTCAGTTAGGGCCCCAGAGAGCACACTCAGCGGTTCCAGACTGGCGAGCTTTCCCTACAGCAATGTGCTCAAATGTCCTTTTCCCCTTACAGTAATGCTGTCTCCTTTCTCCTCCTCTTCTTCCTGACAAACTTTCCATCCAAGCTCAGTTCAGGTGTTTCCCACTTTGCAGACTTCCTCAGGTAACTTCGTCCATGGTGCTCCCACTGCACCTTGCAGCACATCTCTGCAGTCTGCCATTCATCACGCTCTGCACGCTTGTTCAGGAACCCACTGCACAGCTCTTGTCTACCAGGCCTAGTTCCCGAGGCCAAGGAAACCACTCGGAACAAGACAGACCTACAGTCATGGGGTGTGCAGACATAGAAACAAGCGGTGCGATATCATGTGGTAGGCGACTGTGCTCATTGTTTGTTTACTCTTGGCCTCCTCCCTGAAGCCCCTCCACCTCCCAGACCTAACAAATCTGTCCCCAAAACACAGCTTCCACCAGCAGCTGTCCAGTGGGGGCTGCTCATTCTCTCCCACCTCAAGGGATGGATAAAGCTAAATGTCTTTCATAATCTCTTACACCACTGCAAGATCATGACTCTGGCTTTCACATACTGACCCTGTTCCATTGAAGCTGCACCCCTGCCTCTGTCCCCTGAAGCCTCGCAGCCCCTCCTCTTCATTCATGGAAGACAGTGTCACTGCCTCTTTCGTGTTTTCCCAGATCAGTCTAGGTCCCTGGGCTCATCCTTTAATTACTGTCTTGACAGCACTCTCAATTCCTTGCCCTGTTGCCCTTCCATTACACTCACTCAGAAAAACCACAGCCCTGGGCCAGACTGCAGCCTGCCTTTTCTGCTCCTGTACCTCGAGGAGGGCACATCATCGGATCTTTTGGGGCCCCCAGCCACGTGGCCTTCTGCTCACTGAGCCTGCAGGCCTTTGTGGTCCCCTAGTCCTCTTTCTCCTCATCACTTCCATCCTCCAGTGCCTTTGTCAGATTTCCATTCATCTCAAACCTTCAGGCCTTCCCTACCCCCACCTTATTTTTCATCAAATAACCTCACTTCCTGCTTCAACAAGAAAAAAAAAGCCATTGGACAGGCATTCTCTCAACATATTATCACTCCACCTGCATATTGTCTTCCTTCTTGTCATGGTAGAAGAGTTGTCCCTGTTCCTCCCTTAGGCCATTCCAGTCCTCAGTCCTACGGTGGACCACTTTCTCCAGTCTCTCCTCTAGGCTGTTTCTCATTGACATTTCAGTGTATCCCAGTACTCTTGTCTCTTTTTGAAAGCAAACTCTTCCTTGAGCCTACATTCTTTCTCTCACCCCCATAGCCTCTTCCCTCTCATTACAGCCAAATTTCTTGAAGAATGCAATCTGCATTCACTGTCTTCACTTCTCTTGTCAACACTCTGCAAGCTGTTCCCACCTATACCCCTCCAGAGTCACCAAGAACTCCTTTGTTGCCAAAGCCACATTATACTCTCCTGTTCCCATCCCATTTGTCCACTGAGCAACATTTGACACTTTGTTTTCCTTCTCTTTTTCAAACATTGTTTTCTTTGGAGGTTTCATCTTTAGCCAAGCAGGGGCAAGGAAAGGGCAGTGGGAAGACTATGTTATCAAGAGTTTCCACCCTCCTCTCTGACCTCTCTCTCCTTTGTGACTCCTCTTCCACTACCTAGCCCTTCCTCTTGAGGACACCTCCCTAGAGAGAGAAGCCATCCAGATGATGCTGACTCCTGATTTGCTGCACTCACCCTATTTCCTCCTGCACTGACATCTCCTGCTGCTGGGCACCTGCTCACGGGCAGCGCATGGGCACCCCAAACTCAGCACATTCAAAGCCGAGCTGTCCTCTTTCTCCAGAGAAGCCTCTCTCCCTTCCCCATTGTCTGTCTAGTTAAGGGCACTACCATCCACCCAGTTGCCCAAACTAGAAATCTGGGTGCCGCCTGGGGAGGAGTGTGCCGTGGTGATGAGAGCAGTGGGCCTTAGAGTTAGACGTCAGTTTGAAACCCGGCTCGGCCACCCTTGCTGTATGACCTTGGGCAAATCACTTCACCTCCAGGTCTCAGTTTCTTCATCTGTAAAATGAGAATACTAGGAGAAGCTAACTCATAGGTGGTTTTGAGGATGAGATGGAATAATGCTTGAAAAGGATTGGCCGCATGTCAAGCACATGGTGAGCACTCAGTGAACGGTGGCTGCTTATGTAGCAGCTGTGCTTGTTGTTTTCTTGACTTGTTCTCTCTCCCCACCAGTCACAAGTCCTGTCCATGCTACCTCCTAAGTTGCTCAAACCAGCCCACTTCTCACAACCCTACTGCCAGTATTTTAAAACCCTTCAGTGGCTGAGCATCGGCCCAGCATAAGTCCTGACTCTTGGTGGCCTGTGTGGCTCTTCATGATCCAGCCTCTGCTGAGCTTTCTAGCTTCCGTTCTCAGTCTCTCCTCTGGCCTTCCTGCCCACCCACCGACAGAGATAAATCTGGGCTCTAGCCATACCTCTGAGTGGTTTGCATTCCCTTAGAGGTATTGTGCTCCCATCTCCTGGCCTTTACACTTGCTGTTCCTTCTGTCTAGAAAGTGCTGGTCTCACTTTCTCCAGGATACTCCCTTACTCTTCAGCTCAGTGTGGAGACTGCCTCTTCTGGAAAGCACTCCCTGGTCACCTGTCTGGGACAAGGGCCTCTCCCCTGGGTTCCCAGAGCACCCTGTGCTTTCTTCCCTTGGAGCACTTGTCCCTGCCACTCTGAATTAGGCAGGGACTCCTAATCCAGGTCCGGCCCACACTTGAGCCCCAGTTTGTGCCTCAGGCCTCAGAAAGTCCTGTTCTCTCAGCACTCCCCCCTCCACAGCCTGTCTCCCCAGCAGATGAAGTCAGCGAGGCAGAGACCATGTCTCACTCACAGCTGAATTCCCAGAGCCTAGCCCAGTGCCTCACAGAGTTGCGGTCACCAAACGATTGTCAAAGAAAGTTGAAAACCATAGAAATTTCTGAAGACCAGATCAGAATTATTGACCTGACTCTGCTACTTAACTAGCTGTGTAACCTTGGGCTGATTCCTTAGTCTTTCCAAAGTCGAGTGTCCTCATCTGTAAATTGAGGATAATGAGATAGTAAGGGCAGTGTGAGGGTTAAATGCAGAAAATATGTTTCTGTGCCTTCTCTTGCTGCCAGATTGTGGGTGGTTCCACATTGCTCCCTCTACACCTTTTTTCAGGCTCTTTGGTTTAGCAACAAAACTCTTTTCTGTAAATGAAATCTTACATGGAACCTCAGTCTGTAACAAATAAAAGCAAACTGTTCTGAAGAGGAGGAGAGGGGTGAAGGGCCCTGGTTGTTTGTCCATCCCCACGGCTCTGGAGCTCTGGACATCACTGGTGCACCCTCTTCCCCTCGCATCACGGTGCTGGGGCAGCCTCCACACACAGGGACGAGGGCTCTGTGTGCCCTTTTAGTTACCCCCAGCAAGCCTGTTGGGTATAGGTACCTTTCTCCCTAATTTACAAACGGGGAAGGTAAGGTTCAGAGAGAATAAGTGATTTATCCAAGGTCCCACCGCTAGTCAGTTGTGGAGCCAAAGTTCAAAAAACACGAGAGACTAAGTGCGTGCCCACCGAGCACAGAATCACCTTGCTGAAGTTGATTCTGAAGTGGCGGCACGCCCTCTTTTCTCTCCTAGTTTCCTTTTCCTGTTTCCTTCTCCACTCCCAAATCAACTGGCATATGTGTAATTTGGAAGTCATCCAGCCCCCAGAGCACCGCTGCCACCAACTCCCGCAGGCTCTGTCATCTGTGTCATGTCTCCCTCTGAGGCCTCATTGGCCTGCTGGCACTTGGAGGTTGGGAAGTGGGGAGGGGTGACTCAAGGCCCACAGACTTTCATCTTGACTCTCCAGATCTGGGTCTGTCAGCTAATTGGCCATGTCTAGACTCTCAGCCTCCTGTCATCACCTAGGCAAAAGGGCTGCTGTTACAGCTTGCAGTGAGGGCCCATTGTATGCCATGGAGCACACTTTAGGTGTGGCCTTGATGACCTGGGGTGAGCTGTGCAGCGAGTGGCCTTTCTACGGGAACCTCACCCTCTTCGGTAGCCCCCACTCACAGCATCAGGAGGGGCACACGTGCCCGGCTACCCAGAGCAGACTCATCTCCTTTGACAACCTCATGCCCCTACGTCTTTCTTCTCACACGACCCCTATGATATCATGACTTTTTCCCCTTCCACCTACAGAATGCCTCTGTAGTAGCCATCTTCCTCACAGGCAAACCCCCTTTGGTCTTCAGAATTATTGTCCCCATTTTATAGATGAGTCCACTGAGACCCAGCAAGTGAGTGAGCTGCTCAAAGTCACACACACTCAGCCCTGGGAGGCAAGATCCCCTTGGCAGAGTTCTATCCCTTTGACTCCTAGCCTTCTTAGGCCAGAGGACTGCCGGGGGCTCTGGATGAACACGCTGGAAAGCCCTACCTGTCACTGTACCTCCGCCCCCAGGACATGAGCTGTCCGAGGGCACTTCCTCCTCACTCCTGCAGGGTGGGCGAGCAGGTAGGGGCTTGAGGCTCTGCCTCAGCTAGTGAGTGGCAAAGCGGGGCACCAGGCTGATGTGTCGGGTGTCACGTTCTGCCTGGCTACGGTCCGGCCCCTGCTGACACTGCCTCTTGTGTTGGTAGGAAAAGGAGAAGGCCCAGTTGGCAGTAGAAGCCCGGAAGCAGACTCATCGTAGTGTTTCTGGAAGCCGGGAGCCGAGGCCTGCCAGGGAGAGGCTCTTGGAGTGGCCTGACCGGGAGCTGGATCGGGTCAACAGCTTCCTGAGCAGCCGCCTGCAGGAGATCAAGAACACTGTCAAGGACTCCATCCGGGCTAGCTTCAGTGTGTGTGAGCTCAGCGTGGACAGCAATGGCTATGCGAAGGATGGAGCTGCTGAGCCTGAGCCCCAGAGTTGGCCCCCCTCAAACTTCAGTGGCTCCTCAGAGCAACGGCCTGACATCAACCTTGACCTGTCCCCTTTGACTTTGGGCTCCCCCCAGAACCACACGTTACAAGCTCCAGCTGAGCCGGCCCCACCATGGGCAGAAATGAGAGGCCCCCACCCATGGACAGAGGTGAGGGGCCCCCCTCCCGGTATAGTACCAGAGAACGGCCTAGTGAGAAGGCTCAACACTGTGCCCAACCTGTCCCGCGTGATCTGGGTCAAGACACCCAAGCCAGGCAACCCCAGCTCTGAGGACCCAAGCCCAAAGGAGGTCCTCGGTTGCAAGCAGGAGCTGCCTGAGCCTGTGGCCTCAGGTGGGAAGCCGCGGAAGGGCAAGAGACAGGGCAGTCAGGCCAAGAAGAGCGAGGCAAGCCCATGCCCCCGGCCCCCAGCCACCCTGGAGGCTCCTAGTGCCAAGGGCCACACCCCTGGCTCCAAGCTGCCAGGCAAAGCCCCAGAGCCTCCCAAAATGGGCAGCTGTGTTGAGGCTGGAGAGGGGAGCCGGGAAAGCCGACCAGGACCAGGCTGGGCTGGCAACCCCAAAGCCGAGAAGGAGAAGGGCAGCTCCTGGCGAAACTGGTCAGGCGAGGCCAAGTCTCGGCCCCCAGAGCAGGAGTCTGTGCAGCCCCCAGGCCCAGCAAGGCCACAGAGCTTGCCACAGGGCAAGGGCCGCAGCCGCCGGAGTCGCAACAAGCAGGAGAAGTCGGCCTCCTCCTTGGGTGAGTGCCTCAGGAACCGAGTGGCTGACCCCACACCCCAGCCAGGTCATTGGGTGGAGGGCAGTCCTCAAGTGTGGGCAGCGCTGCTCCAAGAGCATGACCCCAGAGGCCTGGCCACAGGCACTGAGCCCTCCTGGCTGTGTCTTCCTAGACGATGTGTTCCTGCCCAAGGATATGGATGGGGTGGAGATGGATGAGACGGACCGGGAAGTGGAGTACTTCAAGAGGTAGGTGTGGGAGGTGGCTGCTCACCCACCCACCTGGGACTCAGGTCCAGCCCACACTTGACCCCCGTTTGTGCCTCAGGCCTCAGAAAGCCTTGTTTTCTTAGTCCTCCCTTCTCTGCCAACTACCAGAGCTCAGTAGAGAGGGCAAGGCTGTCCCCTCAGCCTGTCTGCTGGAACCCCGGGAGTCACTTGGCAGGACTGGTATTGAGGAAGGAATGGAGAATGAAGGGAGGAGGTGTGTCAGGCCCCAGGAGCAATGGCCTTTTTCTAGTTCTTTTCACGTTGTCTGTTCACTTGACTCCCTCTGCTCTGGGCCTGGGCTGAGCTCTGGGGATGGGTAAATCAAACACAGTCTGGACGGGGAGAGAGATCCTTTAATCTGATGAGTGTTGTTGGAGGGCCACGGTCATGGGGCTGGGAGAGGGACTCCAAACCAAGCTGGGGGTAGGGGCAGACCAGGGACACCTTCCCAGAGGAGGTAACAACCAAGCAGAAACCAGGGTTTTCTGGAGACTCAGAATGAGTTGACCAGGTAAAACAGGGAAGGGCCTTTGTGACAGTGGGGACAGCAAGTACAAAGGTTGGAGGGTGAAGGGAAATGGCGTACTTGGTGGATGGAAACAACCCAGTATAGCTAGATGATGAGGAGGGAGCCCATATCCCAAGACACCCTCTGATTTCTTCATACATTGTCCCCTGGGCTCCTGGGCAGTGGCTCCTGGGCCCAGTCCAGGAAACCCCCCAGCCTGCAAAGCTCCCACACCTGCTGGACACCAATGCCTGTGTGCCAGAGAGGTTGTGCAAAGCCAACCTGGTTTCCTTAGTGGCCAGAGGACACGGGTACAGAAGAGGGGTCCACAAGGAGGGGAGGGAACCTCTGATTTCACTTCTGCTGTCTCTCCAAACCCAACAGATTCTGTTTGGATTCTGCAAAACAAACACGTCAGAAAGTTGCTGTGAACTGGACCAACTTTAGCCTCAAGAAAACCACTCCCAGCACAGCTCAGTGAGGTAAAGAGATCCGAAGTATGCACGCCACTCCCTCTCCCCATGTTCTGCCATCTTTTGTGCCTCCTGCCAGACCATTTTGTGCTCTGGGGCACAGGGAGCTGGACTTTGGGCTGGCAGCCCTGGCCACTCTGCCTGTACAGTAACAGCATACGGACTATCGTCTCTGAAGGTCTAGGCCCAAACTGTTCTTCCGTGACCGTGACCACTCACCCCTCAGCCTCTGCTTTCCCACAGCCCCTCCCTGACCCAGGCCCTCGTGTGAGCTCCTCCTGCCTGTGCTTCTGAAGGGGCCCTTCCCCCAGGGAGGTCCTGCTAGGGCTGTACTTCCCTTCCCAGCTGCCTCCCACAGTGCCCAGGCAGCGGTGTGCCCATAGGGCCTGCCCCCACCCCAACACGATCCGGCCTTCGAGTTGAATCCCACCCACTTGCCAGGGCTGGCTTCTAGCTGCAGGCAACTGGGATACTTCCCAGCTGAAGCTGTGAGGGAAGGGGCCAGCCCTGAAAGCAATGAGAGGGGCAGAGAGCCTAGACCAAGGCTTGAAGGTCATTTTGTCCGAGAGGCTGGAGGCACTCAAAACAGCCATTCCATGTGGAAATTGAGAGCCCAGCTGGCTCTTGGAAGAAGAGACCTGGCCCTCACTGGGCTCCAGCTTCCCCTGCCAGCTGCTTGCATGGGTCCTTTAGTCTGAAATAGCAAAGTATCCGATGATGTTCTAGATGGGAGCAGAAGACTTACGAAAGCAGGGGATGAGAATCCCAGCGCAGAGCTGAAGCATGCAAGCAGGCCTTGTGCCAGGCTGGGCTTGGGGCCAAGTAGCTGTGCAATTCCATATCCCAACCCTGCGCTGTGTGCCTGCGGAGAGACCTTTTCTGGCTAGCAATCACACAGCTGCCCTTAAGGTAGTGGCAAGCTGGGGTGCCCCCCACTCCCCCCAGATGTCCCCACCCATCCTCCTCTTTCCAGGCCCAGGCAACTCCTCTTTGGGCTTATCTGATCTTCATCCCAGCAGCTGAGTCCTCTTTGGGATCAGGATCCCCCACTCTTGACAGCTGACCTCAGCTCTCAGGGGGACCCCAGAGAGGGTGAGGACAAGGCAGCCTTTGGAAGAGGTCCACCCATGTGCCACCCAGAGTCAGGACTGTCTTCTTCAGACTCCACCTCAGCCCTTCTCTGCCCTGAAAGGGCTGAGCTCCCTGGTCTTCAGCCAAACCAAGCTGTCCCTACTCCCAGGTGCTTCTTCCAGAGCCAAGGTGCCCTCCTGCCTCTCTTCTCCACCCCACAGGAACCAGGGGGAGAAAAAGGGTCACATCTCCCACAAGCCCAGTTCCAGTGTCATCTGGAAACTCAGCCATCTTCTCCCATTCCTCCTGCTGCCCCTTTACCACCTTGGGTGATCTCTTTTCGAAGGCAGGAGGTCCCCCTACCCCGTAAGTCCTCCCTTTTGACATTCTCCAGCCTCCTTGGGCAGCATTGGAGCCCCGAGTATATCAGAACACAGCAGTGGCACGGCATCAGGACCCGCCCCAGGCCTGTGTACTTGGAGCCTGAGGTGGGAGTCAGTGCATAGCTAGCTTCCTCCAGTACCTGCTGACGGAAGAGCAGATGCCAGAGGCTGGGGTCTTAACCACCCCAGCCTGGAAGGATCAGCTGCAGCAGGGTGTCCTGGGCTTCTCCAAGATTGTTCCCCATTCCTTGAGATCTAGGACAATACTCTGCATGTTCCAGAACCGCAGGACTGAGGCTCCGTCTCCAACAGTGTTTAACCTTCTCCTCTGCTGGAGCTGATCCAGGGAGCCTGTTCAGTGTTTCCAATTCCTCTTGTAACCTAGGGAACAAAAGTAGCAGCCAGCTGCTCCTGCCTCAGTGGGTCCTGGCATGGGGAGGCTGGGACCATCGTCCACTGGGAGGTCATGCTCTTTTCTCTTTCTTAGCCCCTGCCAGGTCAAGCTCCTTCAGGGTGTCCTGAAACCCTGACTGCCAGCTAAAGGTCTACGGTTTCTCCCCCCACATTCCGTGTCCACCTGCCCAAGACTTCCCTGCTCCCCGCCATCCTGGACCAACCAAAAGCTGAATGGATGCTGGACTGTGCTGGAGTCTCTCCAGGCCTCCGCAAAGCCGCTTCCTGGTGCTACGCAGCCTCCACACTCAGAGCCTAGGACCGGGCTGGCCTGTGGGCCAGGGGCTGATGGTACTGCTGGCCCAACACTGCTCTCTGTGTTTGGTTTTTTGTTTTTGTTTTTTCAATTCTTTACTTTTGATACTGTGAAGATCTTTCATGCTGAAAGATAAAGCAACATTTGGACACAGAGTTAGTGTGTTTGGTGATTTGCTGGTCTGAGTGGGGAGTGAGGGGTGTACATAGAAGCATGGGATCTGCCATTAGTCACTAACCCTTCTGAGCATGTCTACACATCTGGAGTTAGGCATAATTCCACTCAAGCCTTGCAGCAATCTTAGTGGTACTGTTTGACCCCAGTTTACAGATGAGGAAAGGAAAGTGATTTGACTGAGCTGAGTCTGGCCCACTAGGGTTAGGACACAGGCCCATATGACTCCAGCATCCCTGCCCTTTCCTCCTGTGGGGAGGATTCTGGTCTGTGAACTTGGTGTAGTCCCTTCACCACTCTGTGCCTCAGTTTTCCCCTCTGCAAAATGGGTGAGTCAGAGGGGTTGGACTTGATACCTGGGAAAGGCCTTCCAAGGCCTTACGGCCTGTGTACCTGCAGCCGGGGCTGTTGAGGTTCTTCACGTGGAATTAACGAAGTCAGGGAGTCGGAGATAAATTGTTTATAAATCAGATCTGACTTCCTCATGGAAATGGGACACAAGCCTAAGTGCTTGAGTTGAGAGGATAATGAATCCTGCGGTAAAGTAAACTACCTCATCCTGCCCAAATTGATCTGGTTTGTCCATTCAGATTTTTAATATAATGGGTTTGCTAAAAATGCCTCACATACACTTGTCCCCAGTGTAGTTTTCTCTACTAAAACCAACTCTTCAACTTGAGCTTATGTGGGAGGTGTCCTGTGGGGGCAGTGGCCACACAGTCACTAAGAGCCCTTTATGGAGTGTTGTGAGCAGATCAGGAGCCACTTCCTCCGTCCTTTCCCTCTTCCCCTTCACCCCCAGTGAGCCCCACCTGGGGGCACTATGGGGCTGGCAGTGAGTGCCAGCTTCCTCTTTGAAAGACATGAAGCCAGGGCTTTGAACCAGTTCGTTCCAGTTAGAACCCCTGCTGAGAATTTGCCTTTCCATCCCCAGATATACTGGATCTGAATCTGTTTTAACAAGATTTCCAGGTGATTCTTATGTATGATAAATTTTGAGATCCACTGCTCTCCTAGTGGTTTTCAGAATTTGTCCCTAACCAGCAGTATTAGCATCACCTGGGAACTTGTTAGAAATGCAAGTTCTCTGAATGAGAAACTAATTTGTGTTGTAAACTTTCACCTAAAAAAATAAAAGATTACAGCCAAAAAAAACCTATGGGGCAGTGCTACTCTGTCCCGTAGGGTCACTATGAGTCAGAATCCATTCAATGGCAAACAACAATGACGATGATTGTTTTTATTATGATTATTATAATTAAAGCTTCCTCTTATCGTGTACTGTCCGATATGGCAGCCACTGGTCACATGTGGCTACTGAGCACTTGAAATGTGACTGGTTCAAATTGAGATGTGCTGTAAGTGTAAAATACACATGGATTTCAACGATTTAGTACATCCCTAAAAAAAGAATGTAACTATTAATAATAAAATATTGACTACATGTTTAAATTATATTTTGGATATACTGGGTTGAATAGAACATTAAAATAAAAAATAATGCAGATTCTCAGCAGGGGTTCAAACCAAAGTCCTGCATGAAACAGAGCATTAACCACAGGCTTACAATCCCTGGTCCCTGGCCTTTCCCAATCCTCAAGGAAGTGTGAACACTTCCTTGTGAAACCTTTCTCTCATTTTAGCTGTGGCCCTCTCTCCTTTCAGCTCTTGTACCAGGCTCCTGCCCTGCTGTTGCACTGGCACAGCTACCTAAAAGTCTGTTTCATTCTGAAGTTGCAAGTCTGATGAAGCAGCCTCTTCACCTACAGAGAAAGCCTTGTGTGAGTGGCATTCAGGGCCCTTCGTGCCTGGCCCCTGCTGGACAACCTCAGCTCCCTAGTTAGGCCCAGCACCCTCAAGTCCCTGCTTCCCAGATTACCCTTCCTTCATTCCTGCTTATCCTGCACGTCCCAGCTGAGAGCCTACTTTTGCTATGAATACCTGGAGAATTGGTTTGCCCTGCCTTGGTGATACTATAGTGATACTTTGTGTTATGATAGTTCTCCTTAATTTCATGGTTTGTGTCTTGTTCATCTTTGATGTGCTTCAGCATTGTGCGGGATGTCCAGCACACAGTAGGTTCTTATTAAATATATGAGTGAAGGAATTCCTCTAAAAATCCCCTTCCTGCTGTGGGCCCAATTTACTTTTCCAGCCTTATCTCCGACTACACCCCACTCACTCCAGCTGCTGTGATCTTTGTTTTCTGAGAAATCTGTACTTGCACATCGCCAGCCCTTTACTCCTGCTGCACCTTCTCTGGAGGCCTCTCTTCCTCTCCTCCACTCCCTACGGCGAGGTTCGTGAACTTCCAAGTTCAGACAGTGTCTCCTCCTCGAAGCTGCTCACGTTTCCCAGGCAGTGAGTCACTCTGAGCTCTATTACAGCCCTCAGAATTAATAATCGTTTACATATGTACAGAGCCTCACAGTTAAAAGTCACTGTCATCAGCATTCTATTTAACTCTTACCGCTCTGAACGTTAAGTATTGCCTCACACAGATGAGTACAGCAGTCAGGGAGGCCGTGGGCGTTGGGTCATTAATTCCACAAGCTCCACCCTGCCCCGGCGGCCCTGGACTGGGGATGGCGACACGAGCGGGACACCAGCGTGCCCTGCCCCGCGGCTCCCAGACCACGAGAGGCCGCGGCGTAGCCTGGATGACGTCATGCCCCCGGCAAGGATGGACACCAGGCCGGCCGCCCTGGGCTCGGGATTGGCCGCCTCCACTCAGATCCCTCCTCTTCAACCGGACTTGGTTTGAGCCTTTAGCGAATGCTCCAAATTCTCCAGCGGCCTACGATGCCTTGCCTGATGCTTTCTCCCTCAACCATGGCAACAGTTGCGGAAGTCACACGCTAGGCGTTGACGCCGCACCCGTACGAGAGCTACCTACAAGGGAATTTGTCCCTCTGCGCGATCCGGCACTCAGAGGTAGTTGCTAGGCACCGACGTCCACTTCCTCACATCTGATTGGGTCTCACTTAAAGGTGAGGCGGGGTTTTGCCGTGGCGCGCATGCGTGCAGCAAAGGATGGAGGAGTCAGAACCAGAGCGGAAGGTGAGTGCGAGGCTGGGGTCAGCGCTGGTGGGGAGCGGGAGTGAAGGCGGGCCTGACGCGAGTGTATCTTCAGCGGGCTCGTACCGACGAGGGTACTGCCGGAGGAAGCCGTTCCGAGGCGGAGGATGAGGACGACGAGGACTACGTGCCTTATGTGCCGCTACGGCAGCGCAGGCAACTGCTGGTGAGAGACCCGGGTCGGAGGAGGAAAGAGGGCGTGACCAGGGGTTCGCTCTAGGGTCGGGGGACGGCCGGGAGTCTGCGGTGGGGGGCAGTCGTGGTCTGAGGAGTGGAGTGTCAGTATACGCAAGTGGTGATCCCAGGCAAACGAGGGACTGGCGACTTAATCTGAGTGGTAGGGCAGCTTGGCGCTTGTAGGCCCGGGACTCTAGCCCAAAAGTCAGGATCCTGACTCAGGGCCCCTGGACCCGGTCCTGCACTTTGTCTCGGGCGTGACTCTGAGGGACGCTGGGGGAATCTTAGCTCCAGAAGCTGCTTCAGCGAAGGCGCAAGGGGGCTGCAGAGGAGGAGCAGCAGGACAGCGGCAGCGAGCCGCGGGGAGATGAGGACGACATACCGCTAGGCCCTCAGTCCAACGTCAGTCTCCTGGACCAGCACCAACACCTCAAAGAGAAGGCCGAAGGTGGGCTGGGCAGCAGGGTCTAGGGATGAGGGGGGGAGGCTGGTGCTGGTACATTTTGACAAATGCTTCTTTTCTCAGCCCGCAAAGAGTCCGCTAAGGAGAAGCAGCTGAAGGAAGAAGAAAAAATTCTGGAGAGTGTGGCCGAAGGCCGAGGTATGGTTGTACCAGTGCAGTGAGGAGGGCCTGGCCTCTGGGAAGCAGGAGCCACCCCTGAGCCCTGTCTGTCTCCTCAGCTTTGATGTCAGTGAAGGAGATGGCCAAGGGAATCACATATGACGACCCGATCAAAACCAGGTATATCTTTTCAGTCTGTATAGTTATCCTTACTTGAGATGGTGTGTGTCTGAGAGTGGCAGGAACACCCTAAGGGCATCTGTGCCCTGGGCCTCTCTTGACCTCTACCACCTACCTACAGTTGGATGCCCCCCCGTTACGTTCTGAGCATGTCTGAAGAGCGGCATGAGCGTGTGCGGAAGAAGTACCACATCCTGGTGGAGGGAGATGGTATCCCACCACCCATTAAGAGCTTCAAGGAAATGAAATTCCCTGCAGGTACCTGGGAACTGGGAGAGACACCACGCTTTTTTTTTTTTTTTTTTTATTGTTGTAGTTTAAATGAAGTTTACATTTCAAGTTAGTCTCCCACGGAAAAATTTATACATAGTTATGTGACTCTAATTGTTCTCCCCATACTGCAACAGCACACTCCTCCTTTCCACCCCTGATTCCCCACGTCCGTTCAACCAGCTCCTAACCCTCTCTGCCTTCCCATCTCATCTCCGGACAGAAGCTGCCCGTTTAGTCTCTTGTATCTACTTGAGCTAAGATACACACTCCTCACGAGTATCACCTTATGGCCCACAGTCCAGTCCAATCCCTGTCGGAAGAGTTGGCCTCGGAAATCGTTTTACTTCTGGGCTGATACAGAATCCGGGGGCCATGCTTTCCAGGGTTCCTTCAGTCTCAGTCAGACCATTAAGTCTGGTCTTCTTACTAGAGTTTGAGTTCTGCACCCCACCTTTCTCCTGCTCCATCAGGGTCTCTCTGTTGTGTTCCCTGTCAGGGCAGTCATTGGTGGTAGCTGGGCACCATCTAGTTCTTTTGGACACCACACTTTTTATAATCAAAAGTCTGTGAGATAAATATCTAGAATAGGAAAGTATATAATGATTGAAATTTATTAGTGGTTACCAGGGGCTGGCGGGAGGGGTGGGGGAAAGGAAGACACAACACTTAGGGGACACTGAGTTTCTGTTAAAAGCGATGGGAAAAATTAAGAAATAGTTAATGGTGGTGGTTGAACAACATGATGAACGTAATTTAGTGTCACCAAACTGTGAAGATTGTTGAAGTGGTAAATGTTTGATATCCATATGTTTACCATAAAAGAAAAAGAAAATGTATTAAAAGAAAAGTCTATGAGGTTATGTCCTAGTGCCTACTGGGCCTGAGACAGGAGAGCTAAGGAGCGAAGTGTGGTTATCTGTTCTGTCAGACCTCTCAGAGACAGTTGGGGCATGGGAACCCCTGGGCCACATGCCATGGTGCACAAACATGTGGCCTACAAAAGTTCATCATTTTAAAGCATAAATACTTTGTCCAAGTGTTTGCTTCCTTATTTACATCAGACTTAAAAATAGTAAAAGCTATAAGAATAGTGGGTCATTCAAGATAAAACAGGTGAAGTCCCTGGGAACTAGAACGGACCCCACACTTTTATAATCGATTATCTATGAGGTTGTGTCTTTTCCCCCACTGAGCTCAGCAGCTACAGTGTTGGCTGTCACCTGTGGAAATGGAGAGACTTGAGGAGGGATTTTTTAGATTTCTTTTTCAGTCACCCCAGCTGTACATGTTCACTATCCTCTGCTATTAGGGGAACTTCAGTGGGAAAGTGAGTAGCACCTGCAGCAGAAAGAATCCCAACCTGGCTCCTGGCTCTACCTAGGCCAGAGGCCTTGGGCAAATGCATGTGTGTGTGTGTGTCTCTTTGTTTCATAATTTGTAACTTGAGGAGGATGGTGCCAATCTTACCTGAGAAAGTACTTTTGAGACACAGAGATTATGCTGGGGTTGTCTTCCATAGCTATCCTGAGAGGTCTGAAGAAGAAAGGCATCCACCACCCGACGCCCATTCAGATCCAGGGCATCCCCACCATGTGAGTGTGGGCGGGGGCCTGAGAAGGGTGGTGAGGGAGAAGCAGTCGCTGCGTGTCCATCTGGAGAAGCAGACCCTGTCTTCTGCTGAACCTGACCCTCAGGCCTGCCTTCTCCCCACAGTTTGTCCGGCCGGGACATGATCGGTATCGCCTTCACCGGTTCTGGCAAGACGCTGGTGTTCACACTGCCTGTCATCATGTTCTGCCTGGAACAAGAGAAGAGGTTACCTTTCTCCAAGCGAGAGGGGCCCTATGGACTCATCATCTGCCCTTCAGTAAGATAGACCAGCCTGGCGGGCAGGGCAGAACCTGGGGCTGCCTTCCGGTGCCAGCCTCTGCCCCTGTGCCTGCAGCGGGAGCTGGCCCGGCAGACGCACGGCATCCTGGAGTACTACTGCCGCCTGCTGCAGGAGGACAGCTCGCCACTGCTGCGCTGCGCGCTCTGCATCGGGGGCATGTCTGTCAAAGAGCAAATGGAGACCATCCGACAGTGAGTGCTGGCCCAGGCTGCCCCAGAGCCCCACAGAGAAGAGAGAGGCCTCCTGCAGGCCCAGCCTTCAGGGAGCTCCCAGCCCCTGGAGGTGGACAGATGAACCACAACCCTGGGCAGTTGGGGTAGGACAGGGATGTGGTGAGGTGCATGGAAGCTCAGCAGAAGGAGCAGCCCACCCTGCCAGGGGCATCTAGGAAATAGGGTGGTCAGAGAAGACTGCAAGGAAGGGGACACTTGAATTTCAAAGAGAGACTTTCCAGGCAGAAGTCACAGCAAGAACAGAGGCAAGGAGCTCAGTGTGTCCAGGAAGATTGAGGTCATTTGGTGTGGTCAGAATGAGGGGGCTGACATCCTGGGGCAGGGGCTCGATCCTAGCTGCACTCATGCTGTTCCACAGCAGCCACGCCTGGGGTCATGGATGGGCCAGCCCCTGTCCCTGTCTCAGGGAAGATGCCATCACAGGAAAGATACCCTAACAGGAGAGAGAGCCCACAGAGACCTGCAGAGGGGGCTTCATAAGCGCAGACTTCAGCCCATCCTGAGATTCAGGACAGACCCCGGGGGACAAGAGGAGGAGTGGTCAAGGGAAGGGGGAGGGGCTGCTGGAGCAGAGCAATGGTTGAGAAGGTTGCACCCTCTTCCGGGAGAGAACTTTGTGGTGTATGAAGGGTAGGGTGGTGAGAGCAAAGAGGAGGGAACAGGTGAGGAGAGACAGGGAGATAGGCAGCAAGAGGGCAGAGCAGAGGCAGAGCCCCAGTCTCTAGGGTAGGGGTGGGCATGTGGCCCCACCTCAGAGTCTCTCCTCGGTTCCAGTGGGGTGCACATGATGGTGGCCACCCCTGGACGCCTCATGGATCTGCTACAGAAGAAGATGGTCAGCCTAGATATCTGTCGCTACCTGGCACTGGACGAGGCTGACCGCATGATTGACATGGGCTTCGAGGGCGACATCCGCACCATCTTTTCCTACTTCAAGGTGCCTGCCTCTGCATGCACCTGGAGTCCCCATACACACCATATTTGACTGCACTGCCATCCCCCCACTGCTTGTACTTCAGGGGGATGCATCCCAGCTGCTTAGACCCCAAACCCCCACCTGCCCTTGGCCCCAGCCTTCTCATCCCATGTCCCCAAGGTGCCAGCCTCTACCCTTCCTCAGGGCCAGCGGCAGACTCTGCTCTTCAGTGCCACCATGCCCAAGAAGATTCAGAATTTTGCCAAGAGCGCCCTAGTGAAGCCTGTGACAATCAATGTGGGCCGCGCCGGGGCTGCCAGCCTAGACGTCATCCAGGTGTGCAGGCACCCCTGATGGTCAGACTATTCATTTCTGAGAGCTGAAACTGGGTTCCCTTGAAACTGACTGAACAAGGGGGTCTACCTTGGGGGCTCTGAAGATGTCATTCAGGGCTCTTTAGCAGAAAACATGGGTAGAACTCCCAGCTCTTGGTGGCAAGAGGCTTCCGGTCACTTCCCGGCCCAGAATGGGGACCTGGTTTTGTGGCAGAGACATGGTTGGTGAGCCTAACCTTAGGGTCACCTTATCTGGCCTCTGTGGTGGCAGGAGGTGGAATATGTGAAGGAAGAGGCCAAGATGGTGTACCTGCTCGAGTGCTTGCAGAAGACACCCCCACCAGTGAGTACAGCAGGCAAGGCCAGCCCAGGTTCCCAGGAAGGAGGGAGGGGGTGGTCAAGACAGCTGCTGGGGGAGGCTGGGGTGCGACCAAGTGGAGTCAGCCCACTCGACTGGAGTTGGCTTTCCTGGACAGGTGCTCATCTTTGCGGAGAAGAAGGCAGACGTGGACGCCATCCACGAGTACCTGCTGCTTAAGGGGGTTGAGGCCGTGGCCATCCATGGGGGCAAAGGTCAGGGTGGCGCATGCATTGGCACAGACCCTGCTGCCACAGCAGCTCCCTCCTAACCCCTTCCCCTGCCTAGCCAGCCTGCTGCTTCTACCCAAATTCTTCCTGTAGCTCTAACAGTTCCTACCTGACCCCTCCAGACCAGGAGGAACGGACCAAGGCAATTGAGGCATTCCGAGAGGGCAAGAAGGATGTCCTTGTGGCCACAGACGTAGCCTCCAAGGGCCTGGACTTCCCTGCCATCCAGCATGTCATCAATTACGATATGCCTGAGGAGATCGAGAACTATGGTGGGAAGCTTAAGGGGCTGGGAGTACGGGGTCTCAGGGAGAGGGCCAGGCCAGGCCCCAGCTCCTGGGCAGTGGGCCAAAGTTCTCCCTCTCTGCAGTACACCGTATTGGCCGCACTGGGCGCTCAGGAAACACGGGCATTGCCACCACCTTCATCAACAAGGCCTGTGGTGAGTCTGTCTCTGGAGCCTCGGCTGTCCCCCAGGTCTTCCGCCTGTGGCCACCCAGGTTCTGACTGGAGGGCCCAGGGTTGGGTCTGATGATAGCCCCTCTGCCTGCCCCACAGATGAGTCCGTGCTGATGGACCTCAAAGCCTTGCTGCTGGAGGCCAAGCAGAAGGTGCCACCCGTGCTGCAAGTGCTGCACTGTGGGGACGAGTCCATGCTGGACATCGGAGGTAACTGCAGGGCGGGGGCACAAGCCCAGGGTGGGGGGTACATGACGGGAACGTGGTGGAAACAAGTCCATATTGGACATCAGGGCCTGGGTGGCTGTTATGGGGGCCCTAGCTCTGGGCCCTGGAGCCTGGCCTTGTGGCCATGCTGACCCCACCCTACCCTAACCCCCAGGAGAGCGTGGCTGTGCCTTCTGCGGAGGTCTGGGCCATCGGATCACGGATTGCCCCAAGCTCGAGGCTATGCAGACGAAGCAGGTCAGCAACATCGGTCGGAAAGACTACCTGGCCCACAGCTCCATGGACTTCTGAGCCATCTGTCTGTTCTCTTTCTTTCTAAGAGGCTTCAGTCCCTGGGGCTTCAGCCATCACCACCCACCCCCTACACAACACACATACACCCCAGCTACCTGGACGAGATGCCAGCATCCTCGGCCCAGCTGGCTTGGGCTGGGCCAGGCTGGGCCTGACCACCTGCTCCCTGTGTGCCCCCAGAATCACTATTTTTGTCCACTTTCACCCCAGCTGCCATTAAAGCACAGCCTCTCTGGCCTAGCCTAGCCTGCCTTCTGGTTTTTCTTGGCTGCCCGTGGTCCTTAGGCAAGCCTTATCTTCCAGCCTCAGAGCCCTCTGAGTCAAGGCTTTGGCATCTCCCTCACACATTAGCACCAGCTTGCCAGGACCTGGATGTGTGGGGAGCCACCTCCCCACCCCGGCATGACCCAGGACTGCCTGGATTTATACCCCAGGGAGGGAGCGATTACTGATGGGTCAAAGGAAAATGGTTGGTTGGTTCTCTGGTCTCCCTGGTGCTGTCATAACCTCCAGCCCCGCCCCAGCCTCCCTCTTCCTGTCCGTTGAGTAAAGCCTCCTGGAGCCCATTGGGAGACCACTTTCTGCCCTAGTCCCACTGCCCACCTGTACAGGCTCCCAGGGGGGATCTCTCAACTCCCTTCACTAAGGAGTAGCAGACGGCACAGGACCACCATTCACCACTGGCTCCCACTCTGCCCATCTTGGTTGATGACCACAAGCCCCACTGGCCCCCACTCTGCCCAGCTCAGTTGGTGCTGGGCTCCTAGCGCCCAGGAGAGCCAGGCTGATGCCTGCTTGGGAAGCTCAGGTGAGTGCGAGAGCTCACAAATAAAGACACAAGTAAGCCTGGTGGCCATCCTGAGACTGCTGTAAATAATCTAGGATTTCAACATCCGAGCAGGGGGCAGTGGAGCAACAGTCCTGGCGGCAGCCACTTCCCAAGCAGTTCCTCCAGGCCAGGAGCCTACGTAGAAAGCCACACGCTGATCCAGTGGGACAGCAGTTGCTCAAGCTATGTTTGTTAACTTGGTGTGTGGCCTTGGACAGGTTACTTAATTTTTCTGAGCCTTGATTTCCTCATTGTTGAGATGGTGATGAGAAGGCAAAGCTTACGGTGTTTGAGGCTGCCCAAGCTCAGGCCGCCTGGCCGCCTCCCGCCGTGGGCATGGAGCAGGTACCCAAGAGGCCAGGAAAGTATCCCTGGCCAGAAGAAGCTGCCTGTCCCACACGTGGCCCCAAACAGTATTCCTTAGTTTGGTTGCACATGCCTTCCTCAAGGTGGCACTGGTGACTGGCATGAGGCTGTCCCCAGAATTCAGCGCCAGACACAGAGCCCGGGTACTGGCCCCAGTAGGAAGCACAGCTCTAAAGGAGCATGTGACCTCTCCAGGGGCCTGCAAGAGTGCCACCCACACTCTGGTGGCTGGGTGGCTCAGGCATTGACTCCTGTCTTGACTGGGGTGTATGCTATGGGGGCCCCGTGTTCTGGGACAACGTGGATTGTCTGGGAGGGCCTCCAGGAGGAAGACGTGACACAGCGGTGAGGGCACCCGGGGGGACTACTCTGTAGGGCCTGAACCGAGGACCCAGAGTGTGTGGCTGAGGAGGGCAGTGAGGAAATGAGTTTGGAGGGGGAGAAACAGGGCTGAGTTTGAGCAGTAGAGAAATGGCTGCCTACAGTGGAGAGGGTTCGGGCAGGGGTTCAAAAGGGTGCTGCTGAGGCTGGCAATGGGTCGGGGGCTGTGGGGATGGAGTGACTGTTAGAAATACTTCAGAGGGAAAGAAACGCAGAGTGGGATTGGTGAGACTTGCTGGCCGGCCCAGTGGTCCAAACCCAGACTCCAGTCGGAAAAGTAAGGAGGATGCAGGGTGAGGGCAGGGTGGTGGGCAAGCCAGGCCTGGGGTGCACAGTGGCAGGGGAGGGAGTGGAGCCGAGCTCATGACTCAGGGGAGCCAGCCTGCCGGTCAGATGCTCTCCCAGCTGACCCAGGGGCAGTCCAGGGCCATTACCCTTGGGCGGTCTGAGGCCCTTGCCAGACGGGTATAGGCACCAGGTCCCAGAGAAGACCCCAAGGAAAAAATACGTGATGCCCCAATGTCTGTCCCAGCTTCTCTACTGAAGACAGGGCTCCCCTCCCCCAAGCCCTGCAGCTGCCTCTCTGGACAGAGGGAGGGGAAGTGGCCAGAAGGGGAAGTGTGAGGAGTTCCCCTCTGCCTGTCACCAGTCTCCTCAGGTCTTCAGAGTGGCGGCCGTGCAGCCCAGCCACGGCCATGGAGCCTCCGGAGACCCCCGTCAAGGATGGCATCCTCTACCAGCAGCACGTCAAGTTCGGCAAGGTGGGCACCCCCTGGCTGCCAGGCAGCTGTCCAGGACAAATGTGGGCAGAAAGCGACCCCCCACCCTCACCTTGGACATCCCACCTGGACGTGGGAGAAGTGGGGAGGCGGGGTGGAGGACCCAACCCGGCTATGGGAGCATGGAGGAGAGCCTGGTCCTGGGCTTGAGGGGCTGAGGCTGGCCAAGTCTGTGGAAGACCCTGCTGCATTCACAGATGGGGGAGCCAAGAGTGGGATGGGGATCAAGAATCCAACCTCCTAGCAGGTCAGAGCAGAAGCTGTGTAGACCAACAGCCCTCTCGACCATCTCATAGTAGCACCGAGGCCCCTAGGGAGGATAGGGAGGGTCAGCCAAGGTGGGAGAAACCTAGGTCCTGTGGCAGAGCCCCACCCTGCAGAAGAGGGCTTGGCTCCCAGCCATTCGGGGCCACGGGAGAAGAGGTGGGTGGGGAGTCGACCTCTCCCCAGCAGCCAGCCCTGTACCACCAGCTCAGCTGCAGCTGCTGCCCAGGCAGATAAAGGGCCTGTTTCCTTTGCTCAAAGTTATTTGCATGTTTCCTTCCTTGCCATCATGAGACTGAGGCTTCCCCACCCCCACCCATCCGTTTGCCCCATGAGGCCTTTTCTGTGGAAGGCGTGGTCAGCTCCATGCCTCTCGGGACTTCAGGACTTCGTAGACACCATCCAGTGGAATCCTCAACTTTGTGTTCTCACGATGTTTCAGAGATCAGTTAGGAAAGGGTAGGGGATTTGAACCCAGGACTGACTGACCCTGCACATACTCTTCTCTGTGTCTGCCTGGCTCTAATGGGCCTCCTTCCCTGGGGCCCTGAGGAGTCAGGGAGGCAGAGGCCAGCCAGGGCAGCCAGGAGTGTGTGCTGAGCTGAGCAGCAGGGAGAGTCTGCCACCCGAGGGTCTCCCCGTTTCCCACAGAAGTGCTGGCGGAAGGTGTGGGCACTGCTGTACGCGGGAGGCCCATCAGGCGTGGCCCGGCTGGAGACCTGGGAGGTCCGCAGTGGTGGCCTACGGTCTGCAGGGGACAAGTCTGCACGGCATGGGGAACCACGGGTCGTCCGCCTGGCTGACTGTGTATCCGTGCTGCCCACGGACAGTGAGAGCTGCCCCCGAGACACTGGGGCCTTCCTGCTCACCACCATCGAGCGAAGCCACTTGCTGGCCGCAAAGCACCGCCAGGCTTGGATGGGCCCCATCTGCCAGCTGGCCTTCCCGGTGAGCAGGGCACACCTCACCCCCTACTCGGTCATCTCCATACTCCTGTTTATCTTTTCCCTCAGTAGCATCTGCCAAGCACTTACAGGCAGGAAAACAGCCCAGAAATTCTCAGATGGTCACCCGGGTGATAGAGCAAGGACATACTGTGATGAAGGACATTAGACAGGATGGTCAAGGAAGGCCTCTCTGAGAGAAACAGTACGCTTGAGTCCTGAATGACAAAGAGCCCAGCAGGCCAAGGTCTAAGGGAAGAATGTCACAGGCAGAGGGTGCAGCATGGGCAAAGCCCCTGAGGCAAGAAAAATTTAGTGTGTTCAAGGAGCAGAAAGGAGGCCACTGTGGCTAGAGGGTCAGGAGTGGCAGGGAGCATAGTAGGAGATGAAGTTGGAGTTTGACAGGAGCCACATAAAACTGCCTTGGACCATGATGTCAGTTTGGAGTTTTATTCTGAGTAAGATGAGAAGCCTTCTGGAGGGTTCAAGCCAGAGACCAAAAGGAAATGAGCAGACATGAGGGCATCAGGAAGCTGCTGCATCTTACCAGGCAGGCTGATGGCACCCTGGATCAGGGTGGTAGTGGTGCTGAAAGTCAGCAGGCCCGGGGAGGGGGACTTGCTGCAAGATTGGATGTGAGGATGAAAGAAAAAGAGAGGGGCTTTTTGTGCTTCGATGGAGAAAAGAGGCCTGGGGAGTGGGGAATACAAGGCTCAGGACCAGGTCACTTGTGGGTTCCTCCCCAGCTCTCCTGCCCTTCAGTGCTCCACGCTGTTGGGGACACACAACCTGGCCCAGTCCCTATTGGGGACGTCTTCCCGTGTCCCCAGCACTTTACGCTCTCTGACACCCTAAGCCCAGCACCCCCAAGGAGCAGCAGATGGGACTGCTGCCCATCTTACAGGTAAGGGATCAGGCTCAGAGGGCTGGCACACTGGCAAAGTGGACTGGCACCCAGGACCCTGGTTGCTCTTGCTTGTCATGGAGTCCTGAGTTACCAGCCCAAAGGAGGGATAGGGGAAGGGCGTGGGGAGACTGAGGAGCCAAATGGAAGTGGGGTGGGGGGGACTCTGACCTCTGACCTTGGGCCCACCCTCAGGGCACAGGGGAGTGCTCCTCAGCGTCAGAGGAGGCTGAGTCTCCCACCAGGGTCCCCGTCTCCATGGAGGAAAACTCCATCTACTCCTCCTGGATGGAAGGTGAGTCTGAGAGGCACAGGGGCAGTCTCGGGCCCACCAGCACCCAGGGCTTGGATCCATGGGGGCTGGTAGGGGTTGCGCTTGCTTGCTTGCTTGGGTGATGGTGGGAGGAGCCCTCATGGCCACCTGCCTGCAGTGGTCAAGTTCCCAGTGGTGGTGCAGAAGACGGAGGCCGCTACCCGCTGCCAACTGAAGGGGCCCTACCTGCTGGCACTGGGCCAGGATGCCATCCAGCTGAAGGATCCCTCTGGCCTACAGGCCCTCTACACCTGGCCCTATCACTTCTTGCGAAAGTTTGGCTCCCAAAAGGTGAGGCACCCATCCTGTGGGTCCCGGTGGGAGGGGCAACACCTGACCCTCCTCACTGACCCCGCTTGTGTCGCCCCCAGGGGGTATTCTCCTTTGAAGCCGGCCGCCGCTGCGACTCGGGCGAAGGCCTCTTCGCCTTCAGCAGCTCCCGCGCCCCTGACCTCTGCGGCGCCATGGCCGCGGCTATCGCCCGCCAGCGTGAGCAGCTGCCGGAGCTGGCGTCTCCCTGGCCCTGCCCCCTGCCGCGGGCCACCTCGCTGCCCTCCCTGGAGCCTCCTGGGGAGCTACGAGAGACGCCGGGGATGGAGCCGCGCGGCTGCCGGAAGGCGCGCGCAGGGTTGGAGCCCGGGCCGAAGAGCCTGCCACCGCTGCCAGACCAGGCCGCCGAGAACACCGCTGTCTACGCCGTCGTGGCCAAGCGTGCCAGCGGGTCTCCGGCTGTCGCCGCCGCCACCCAACACCTCTACGAGAACCTGTGCGCACTGGAGGGCGGCCCCGAGGCCAGCCGCATCTACCACAACCGCGAAGACCTGAGCTGGAGCGGCCCCGGCCCCGACGAGAGCCTGGAGGCCCAGTACCGGCGGCTGCTCGAGCTGGAGGTAGACGAGGCAAGCGACGAGGCCGGGGGCAGCAGCCACTCCAGCGCCCCAGCAGCCTTCAAGGCCAAGCTGGTGACGCTGTTGGGCCGAGAGCGGAGGAAGGGCCCTGTCCCGTGCGACCGGCCCTGAGCCCCGGAGCCATGTGGCCACTGGAGAAGAGAGGAGGACATTTGGGCTCACCCCCCAGGTCCACTATGGCCTGCAGGGACCCCTCCTTCACCTTCCCTCCACCCGGTGTATAGTGTACAGAGGTTTGCTGATAATAAAGCCTTCCAGCTCCAGCACAGACTCAGTGCCACCTTTGCTCCACCGTGTGACCCCCAGTTTCACCTCTTCTCACTTCAGTTCTTGCTAGTGGCACTTGTGGGTACGCGTGGACACACAGACCTCACTCACATTCACTGCAACAAAGCCCAGCACCCTGCGCTGGGTTCCACAGATGACTTGGGCCTGACCTCTGCCACCAGGGGGCTCACATCCACGGAACCAGATAATTGTGTGCTGCCCCACCACCACCCTCCTTTGCAGCAGAAAGAGTGAAGGGAGGAATGTGGCTTGCTGATTGGAGAGGCACCCTCTGAATGCATGAAAGGCAGGCAGGGCAGGGGGCTGGGCCCACAGATCCAAGGGAAGAGCATGGACAAAGAGACCTTCAGGGGCCGAAGGGGAGCTAGTGACCAGAGCTGGAGACTCCCTGAAAGTTCTGGAAGAGCTTGATCTCCTGCTCAGGGGAGAGGGAGAATTTTGCATAGAGGAGGGACACAGTTGGACCGACAAAGGAGCAGTGTGGAGGCCAGACTGGAGGAAGCCAGCTGGACACCAGGAAGCCTGAGCTGGGGAGGAGGTGGAGAAGGGCTGGGGGAGAGGAGGGAGGGATTTCAAAGATGTACACACCCAAAGCATTTGTCCCCTGCTGAGACACCAAATGGGCAGACACGTCGGGGACCCCAGGTCTCAGTTTCCTCAGCTACAAAGGATAAAGATCAAATTCTGTATTAGACGTGCATCCATTTGTTTGATTTTTACTGAGTGCCTACTCCATGCTGGACTCTGGAGTACTAAGTCTGTGTTCTCAAGCAGGTGAAATTCCAGTGTAAGGTAAGCAAGTCTCCTGAAGATGGTAGTGCCTGCTTTATTCTCCTCTCCATGTGCTATTCCTGTCATTGTCCTTGGACCATATACACAGCAGATGTCTCCAAGGACCTGGCCTCTTGGTCCCTTGACCTCAGTTCCACTCAGCTGCCCACACCCTTGGTGCATGCTGAGCCTCATCATCACGAGGCTAATTGCACCCATTGTAAAAATGTGATTGCAAACCTCAAGCGAACAGGCTCTCCCTGCCGCTCCTGTGTTCTAGTATGGCTGCCTTTCTAGTCCCTGAGACCATCCAACCTTCTCCTCTCTTCCCCACCCACTCCCACCTCGCGGACATCATTGGAGAAATGACCGCCAACAGAAATAAGCATGCTCACCCTCCCACCACTGCATCTATACGTACCAGCATTTGCATCCATGTCTCTTTTCTGCTCCTGACTATGGGAGAAGGGTCTGTACCCAACCCCATCCAGGTCAGTTCCCCACATGTGCTCTGGTCCCAGCCCCTGAGCGGGGAGCTCCCTCCTCTCTCTCCTTGATCCATTGTTGTTGTTGTTGTTAGGTGCTGTCGAATCAGTTCCAACTCATAGCGACCCTATGTGCAACAGAGCTAAACATCTTCACAATTATTGTTATGCTTGAGCCCATTGTTGCAGCCACTGTGTCAGTCCATCTTGTTGAGGGTCTTCCTATTTTTCACTGATCTTTACTTTACCAAGCATGATGTCCTTCTCCTGGGATTGGTCCCTTCTGATAACATGTCCAAAGTACATGAGACGAAGTCTCACCATCCTCCTTTCTAAGAAGCATTCTGGCTGTACTTGCAAGCAGATGTGATGTGTTTGTTCTTCTGGCAGTCCATGGTATATTCAAATTCTTTGCCAACACCATAATTCAAAGGCAGCAGTTCTTCTTCAGTCTTGCTTATTCATTGCCCAACTTCTGCATGCGTCTGTGGCAATTTGAAAATACCATGGCTTGGGTCAGGCACACCTTAGTCCTCGAAGTGACATCTTTGCTTTTTAATACTTTAAAGAGGTCTTTTGCAGTAGATTTGCCCATAATAGGTCATTTGATTTCTTGACTGCTGCTTCCATGGTCATTGACTATGGAACCGAGTAAAATGAAATCCTTGACAACTTCAGTCTTTTCTCTGTTTACTATGATGTTGCTTATTGGTCCAGTTGTATAGATTTCTGTTTTCTTTATGTTGAGGTGTAATTCATACTGAAGGCTGTGGTCTTTGATGTTCATCAGTAAGTGCTTCAAGTCCTCTTAACTTTCAGCAAGCAAGGTTGTGTCATCTGCATATCACATGTTGTTAATGAGTCCTCCAATCCTGATGCTGCGCTCTTTCTTCTTCAAAAGTCCAGTTTCTCAGAATATTTGCTCAGCATACAGATTAAATAAATATGGTGAAAGGATACAACACTGACACACACCTTTTCTGATTTTAAACCGTGCAATATCCCCTTGTTCTGTTCAAACAACTGCCTCTTGGTCTGTGTATAGGTTCCTCAAAAGCACAGTTAAGTGTTCTGGAATTTCCATTCTTCGCACTGTTATCCATAATTTGTTGTGATCCACATAGTCGAATGCCTTTGTGTAGTCAATAAAACACAGGTAAACATCTTTCTGGTATTCTCTGCTTTCAGCCAGAATCCATCTGACATCAACAACGATATCCCTCATTCCACGTCCTCTTCTGAATCCAGCTTGAATTTCTGGCAATTCCCTGTCGATGTGCTGCTACAACAGCGTTTGAATGATCTTCAGCAAAATTTTACTTGCGTGTGATATTAATGATATTGTTTGATAATTTCTGTATTCCACTGGATCACTTTCTTTGGAATAGGCACATATATGGATCTCTTCCAGCCAGGTGGCCAGAGAGCTGTCTTCCAAATTTAGTGGCACAGAAGAGTGGGTGCTTCCAGCGATTCATCTCTTTGTTGAAACATCTCAATTGGTATTCCATCAATTCCTGGAGCCTTGTTTTTCAACAATGCCTTCAGTGCAGCTTGGACTTCTTCCTTCAATACCATCGGTTCTTGATCATATGTTACCTCCAGAAATGGTTGAACGTCGACCACTTCTTTTTGGTACAGTAACTCTGTGTGTTCCTTCCATCTTCTACTGATGCTTCCTGTGTCATTCAACATTCTGTCCATAGAATACTTCAATATTGCAAATCGAAGCTTAAATTTTTCCTTCAGTTCTTTCGGCTTGAGAAATGCCTAGTGTGTTCTTCCCTTTTGGTTTTCTAACTCCAGGTCTTTGCACATTTTATTTTAATGCTTTGTCTTCTCAAGTCGCCCGTTGAAGTTTTCTTTTCTGCTCCTTTGCTTCATCATTTCTTCCATTCACTTTAGCTATTCTACATTTAAAAGCAAGTTTCACTACAAGACAGTACTGCAAAAAACCAAAAGAGACCTGCATAAGTGGAAAAACATACCTTGCTCATGGATAGAAAGACTCAACATTGTGAAAATGTCAATTCTACCCAAAGGGATCTACAGATATAACGCGATCCTGATCCAAATTCCACTGGCATTTTTTAATGAGATAGAGAAACAAATCACCAACTTCATGTGGAATGGGAAGAGGCCCTGGATAAGTAAAACATTACTCAAGAAGAAGAACAAAGTGGGAGGCCTCACACTACCTGATTTTAGAACCTATTATAGCACGACAGTAGTCAAAACAGTCTGATACTGGTACAACAACAGATACATAGACCAATGGAACAGAATTGAGAATCGAGACATAAACTCATCCACCTACGAGCAGCTGATATTTGACAAAGGCCCCAAGTCCCTTAACTGGAGAAAAGACAGTCTCTTTAACAAATGGTGTTGGCATAACTGGATATCCATCTGCAAAAAACTGAAACAAGACCCATACCTCACACCATGCACAAAAACTAACTCAAAGTGGATCAAAGACTTAAATATAAAATCAAAAACGGTAAAGATCATGGAAGAAAAAATAGGGACAATGCTAGGAGCCATAATACATGGCATAAACACAATAGGAACCATAAGTAACAATGCACCAGCACCAGAAGAGAGACTAGATAAATGGGAGCTCCTAAAGATCAAACACTTAAGCTCATCAAAAGACTTCACCAAAAGAGTCAAAAGACAACCTACAGACTGGGAAAAAAATTTTGGCTACCACAAATCCGAGCAGTGTCTAATCTCTAAAATCTACAAGATACTGCAAAACCTCAACAACAAAAAGACAAATAACCCAATTAAAAAATGGGCAAAGGATATGAACAGGCACTTC